GCGGCTTAGTCATGCTGGCCACATGACCTGAAAGCTGTACTCCGGCTCCCTCAGCCAGTAAAGCGAGATGAGCGCCGCAACGCCAGAGTCCGCAACTGGACCTAACGGTCAGGGGTCCCTTTATCTTTAAGCTACCAAAAATGTATAGAACAAGTACAAATATGTGCTGGGAGTGTAAAGAAAAATAAGGTACCTAGAATCATAGAATCATAGAGTTGGAAGAGACCACAAGGGCCATCGAGTCCAACCCCCTGCCAAGCAGGAAACACCATCAGAGCACTCCTGACATATGGTTGTCAAGCCTCTGCTTCAAGACCTCCAAAGAAGGAGACTCCACCACACTCCTTGGCAGCAAATTCCACTGTCAAACAGCTCTTACTGTCAGGAAGTTCTTCCTAATGTTTAGGTGGAATCTTCTTTCTTGTAGTTTGGATCCATTGCTCCGTGTCCGCTTCTCTGGAGCAGCAGAAAACAACCTTTCTCCCTCCTCTATGTGACATCCTTTTCTATATTGGAACATGGCTATCATATCACCCCTTAACCTCCTCTTCTCCAGGCTAAACATGCCCAGCTCCCTTAGCCGTTCCTCATAAGGCATCGTTTCCAGGCCTTTGACCATTTTGGTTGCCCTCCTCTGGACACGTTCCAGTTTGTCAGTGTCCTTCTTGAACTGTGGTGCCCAGAACTGGACACAGTACTCCAGGTGAGGTCTGACCAGAGCAGAATACAGTGGCACTATTACTTCCCTTGATCTAGATGCTATACTCCTATTGATGCAGCCCAGAATTGCATTGGCTTTTTAGCTGCCGCGTCACACTGTTGGCTCATGTCAAGTTTGTGGTCAACCAAGACTCCTAGATCCTTTTCACATGTACTGCTCTCAAGCCAGGTGTCACCCATCTTGTATTTGTGCCTCTCATTTTTTTTGCCCAAGTGCAATACTTTACATTTCTCCCTGTTAAAATTCATCTTGTTTGTTTTGGCCCAGTTCTCCCAGTGCAGTAGCACCCCAGATTTCCACCCAGAATTCAACCCTGCCTCCACCTCATTACATACATTCCCATCACCTCATCACTACCTAAGTGGTGGGTGGGGGACGCATAGCACATGCCTTAGCTCAGAGCAGATTACCGGGGGGGGGGGTTGAATTTGGTTTGACACAATCCTCGTGCCTGCTCTGATCCCCTCTAGATTCTCAGAAGCACACATCTCGGACATTTCTCCCAGCCTTCAATGCCATACCCACTCCCATGGGGGTAGCCAAAGGGGGCAAGCAGGGGCAGCTGCCCCCCATCAATAAAAATCAATAAAAATACATAGCTAACTGAGGTCCTGGCTATGCCCATGCCCACTCCCCATTCTTCATGCATTCAAAGGATGGACCTCTGAGACCCTTTCCTGCCATCCGTCCCTTTATGTACAGTGGTACCTTGGGTTACATACACTTCAGGTTACAGACTCCGCTAACCCAGAAATAGTACCTCGGGTTAAGAACTTTGCTTCAGGTTTCCAGAGGTACTTTAAACAATTATATACACAAGGGCCACAGAAAGAAATGGACATAGATCGATTTTTGAAGACAAATGGATTACAAAAAATCTCTCAAGAAAGTAAATTAATGTTGAATTATAAAATATCTGAACAGGAAGTAGAAGGTGCCATTCAAAATATGCAACTAGGCAAATCTCCAGGACCAGATGGGTTGACTTCTAGATACTACAGATCCTTGAAAGAGTGGTTAGTACAACCTTTAAAGGAAGTCTGTAATGAAATATTGGAAGGGAAAAGGGCACCAGAGTCGTGGAAAGAAGCGTATATTACACTTATGCCGAAAACAGAGACTGAAAAGACCCAGCTTAAGAACTACCGCCCCATATCATTACTTAATGTGGATTACAAAATTTTTGCAGATATTTTGGCCAAGAGATTGAAAAAAGTGCTGATGGAAGAGATCCATAAAGACCAAGCGGGAAGACACTTGTCTGACAATTTGAGGAATATAATTAATATTTTGGAAAAACTAGAAGTGAATATTAACACTAAGGCAGTTTTGATATTTGTGGACGTGGAGAAAGCCTTTGATAATATCTCTTGGAGTTTTATGAAGAAGAACTTACAGGGGTTGGGGGTGGGTGAAGGATTTGAAAATGGTATAGGTGCAATTTATTCTGAACAAAAGGCCAAGTTAATTGTTAATAATGAGGTGACGGAGGAATTCAAGATAGAAAAAGGGACACGACAAGGTTGCCCAATTTCCCCATTGCTTTTTATATCAGTCCTGGAGGTTTTGTTGAACATGATTAGAAGGGACCAGTTGGTTAAAGGTATACAAGTCGGAGCTAGACAGTATAAACTGAGAGCTTTTGCAGATGACCTAGTATTGACATTACAGGAGCCAGAATCTAGTACTAAAAGAGTTTTGGAACTGATTCAAGAATTTGGTCAAGTTGCAGGATTTAAATTGAATAAATTAAAAACAAAGGTCTTAGAGAAAAATTTAACAGTGATTGAAAGAGAAAGGTTTCAGAATGAGACAGGTTTAACAGTGGTTAAGAAAGTGAAATACCTTGGGATTAATATGACAGCTAAAAATGGGAACTTATTCAAAGATAATTATGAAAAATGCTGGATGGAAGTGAAAAAAGACTTAGAAATTTGGTCAAATTTGAAGCTTTCATTGCTAGGCTGTATTGCTGCGATAAAAATGAATGTATTGCCTAGAATGTTGTTTTTGTTTCAAACATTGCAAATTGTGGACAAAATGGATTGCTTCAAGAAGTGGCAGAGAGATATTTCTAGATTTGTCTGGCAGAGCAAGAAGCCTAGAATAAAATTCAAAATATTAACGGATGCAAAGGAAAGAGGTGGATTTGCCCTGCCAGACCTTAAACTTTATTATGAATCAGCAGCTTTTTGCTGGTTGAAAGAATGGCTGCTTCTTGAAAACACAGATATTTTGGATTTAGAAGGCTTCAATAATGTATTTGGATGGCATGCATATTTGTGGTATGATAAGGTCAAAGCACATAAAGCATTTAAGAATCATATTGTCAGGAAAGCATTGTTCAATGTCTGGATAAGATATAAGGATTTATTGGAAAACAAAACTCCAAGATGGCTGTCACCGATGGAAGCAAAAGCACTGAAAAAGCTCAATATGGAGGCCAAATGGCCGAAATATTGGGAAATCTTGGAACAAGAGGGAGATAGACTGAAATTGCAGAGTTTTGAGAAACTAAAAAACAAAGTGCGAGATTGGCTTCATTATTATTAGATAATGGAGGCATATAATTCGGACAAGAAAATTGGCTTCCAGGTGAAAAAATCAAAATTAGAAACAGAACTGCTAGAACCCAAAACTAAGATTTTGTCAAAGATGTATAACTTGCTGTTGAAATGGAATACTCAGGATGAAACGGTGAAATCTGCTATGATTAAATGGGCACAAGATGTTGGACATAATATAATGATGGCTGACTGGGAACAGTTATGGACCACAGGTATGAAGTTTACGGCATGTAATGCCTTAAGAGAGAATATTATGAAAATGGTATACAGGTGGTACATGACTCCAGTCAAGCTTGCAAAAATCTATCATTTGCCTGATAATTAATGTTGGAAATATAAAGAAACTGAAGGTACATTCTTTCACCTTTGGTGGACGTGCCCAAGGATTAAGGCTTTCTGGGAGATGATCTATAATGAATTGAAAAAAGTTTTTAAATATACCTTCTTGAAGAAACCAGAGGCCTTTCTCCTGGGCATAGTCGGCCAATTGGTGCCAAAGAAGGATAGAACTTTTTTTATGTATGCCACAACAGCAGCAAGAATTCTTATTGCAAAGTATTGGAAGACACAAGATCTACCCACTCTGGAAGAATGGCAGATGAAGGTGATTGACTATATGGAACTGGCGGAAATGACTGGCAGAATCCGGGACCAGGGAGAAGAGTCGGTGGAAGAAGATTGGAAGAAATTTAAAGACTATTTACAGAAATATTGTAAAATTAATGAATTTTAGAATGATGTTGGATAGAAATTAAGTGGTTTTTAGCTGCAATACTATAAGGGAATATGAAAAATGGATTACTAACAGATAAAAATTTAATGTTACAATATTTTAAGATTAATGATTAGGATAGACAAAGAGGGGAAGGATTTGCTGAACCAACAAACTGAACTGGAATACAAAAAAGGGAGGCGTGAGGAGGTCTGGGAAATAAGAAATGAAAAATAAGTAATGGAAAGATTGAGTTGTTTTTAATTATTTTTATTTTTTGTGTTTTTCTTTTTTCTATTTTTATTTTGTAATATTTTGAAAATCTTAATAAATATCTTATAAAAAAAAAAGAACTTTGCTTCAGGATGAGAACATAAATCTGGTGCTCTGGTGGCACGGCGGCAGCGGGAGGCCCCATTAGCTAAAGTGGTGCTTCAGGTTAAGAACAGTTTCAGGTTAAGAATGGACCTCCGGAACGAATTAAGTACGTAACCAGAGGTACCACTGTATTTGACTGATCAACTAATACCAAATTAGAAATGAAAACTGATATAGGCTTTAAAAAGTGTGAAACAAGTAAATTGCTTGTTTTGAGATCAACCGTATGATGTACAAAGCAGCAATCAAAGTATAAAATGCAAACTGTAACACCCCCACAGACACTGAGATTAGCAGATCAGAATCTCCCCAAATTTATGCTCAAACCCCTAATCCCCCCCAAAAGTGCTTCCTTGCTCTTCCAGCATTTGTCAATGGAAGCTCTGTACAGCTCATCCCCTTGGAATATCCCCCCCCCTTGCCATCTGCTGCACACCTGCCTCTTTGGGGGGCCCTGCACTCTCCTCCCCCTCCCCACAAGGGTGTGACATAGTGCACAGACACACACACACTTGCCCTGAGGGGCTAACAAGAGAGGGGAGAGGAGGGTGTCGGGCCTGTTAGAACTGGCCAATTCTAGCCCCACCTCTCTGCCTCTGCTAGGTAGAAATCCCAAAGTTCAAGAAGGGATGCTGTGGGTGGTGACGGAAAGTTGCACTCTTCGAAGAACAACCTGTTGGGTCCAGAGAACTGGTGGTCCCCTTCAGCCCTGGGGAGAAAAGGGGGCGCATTCAGAGCCTCCCTTTGCTGGAGTAGGGAAAGATCTCGAAATACCCACAGCTTGAGCAGATTAAACATCTAGATTCAGGGTGGCCCAGATTTCTGCAGCGAATTTCTCTCGAACAAGCGGCAACTCTCCTGTGAGGACCTCCTAGCAGAGATGGCCTTGGCTGATCTTCACTACACCACAGGCATCAGCAGTGGATTCAAGGTCTACATCTTGGAAGGTGAGTCCCACAAACCCTTGCCTTTAATGCAGTTTGTGTGCAACTTCCAGTGCTCCCTTTTGCAGCCGCAGAGGCAGTGGGATGTAGCGGTTAAAATGAGCATATCCCCTTTAACCTGGCTGAGTGCTGAGCCTAATGCTGTGCACGGATCCCTGTTCCTGCTACACCACGTATCAGCCATATCCTGAGGGCACGAAAAGCAATTGCAGGCTCCAGCTGAGCTCGGCCTGGGAGAGGCAGCACCCTGCCTGCCACCACCTCGGCTCTTCCAGGTGTCCCCACTTCGATTCTCCTCAGTGGCCCACTTCACAGGGCCGGCCACTCTAACACTGCCTTGCTCCACACCCCCACACCCCCGATTCACCCTTAGAGGTGCATATTAGAGTGGAAGTATATTGGGGGAGAGAACATTTTCCATTTTTAATTTGAATCTGCTTGCAGTATTTCGTTCACACATTCACCTCCTTCTGATTTTTCAATATGCATACTTTTATTTTTATTTGTTTTATAGGTTTATAGGCTGCCTTTTGAAAAAGGAAAACAGTTTATCCCCACCAGCTGGTGGTTCCTTTTAGATTTGCACACATTACTCTTGTCTGTGTCTATCCTCCTTCCCCCACTGTTGTCTTCACAGTTGGAATTTGGATTGTATGCTCTCTGGGGCAGAGGCTTCTGTCTTTTACAGTGATTATGGTAACACACCATGTGCTCATCTTGACTGCAGCCCACAAAAATAAGGGGTGTTAGAATCCCCTTTGGATGGGGAAAGTGTTCTGTCTTACCTGCCTAGAGCAGCAACAGTGGGGTTCAGCTAGGGAAGGGGGTCAACAAAGGGTCTCTTGGCACATTGAGACCTATCGGATGTATTGCATCAGTAGCTTTCAGGGACTTGAACTCACTTTGGCAGATCCAGGCAGTATTGTCCTCAGTTTCACGCATATGATGTGAAGTTGGCTCTCATCCCCAATAGCTTTCCCCACCACAAATCTGGGCAAGCGCTCTGAAACAAGCGAGAACTGGCATGAATATGGGACAAGGTGCACTGCTAATTAACTAATCCCACAACCTACGAACGCAGGTCTAGAGGCACATTGCACACAGAAGTGGTGTCGGGTGCCACACCAGTACCTGTCTGAACAGGAACCATTAGTCAATGCCATTGCTCCACCCACTTTGAAAAAAGGAAGGAGCATTCAGCCCAGACATTTTCTTTGAGGTCCAGACTTATGCGCTCAGAAAAGGCAAGTGGCATTGCCTACCTAGAGCTGCACATAGAATGCAGATGGAGGGAACTGCGTATGTATTTGAATGGTTGGCCTTAAAAGGGATATCAGGGATGGGGAAACTGTGGCCCCCCAGATGCCTTTGGAATACAGCTCCCATTATCCCCTGACCTTCGGTCACGCTGGCAGGGGATGATGGGAGCTTGAGTCCCAACAACCTCGGGGGGGGGGGCCTACAGGTTCCCCATCCCTCATCCCTGTTTTAAATAAATAAATAAATGGATGAATCAATGAATGAATGAAAGCCAAGTCTCCCTGCACATAGACACCAGCATGGCTCAGCTAGGCTCTTTTCCCAAATGCGCTCATTTTTTATGGGTATAGGATTTTTAATTCCTTTTTTTCTTTTTCTTTTTTGAATGAGGGGCATTCAGAATGGGATCTGCACCCTGAGGCAGTTCAGTCCTAGGAGGGCGATAACAAGTCCTTTTTCTGCATCTGCCCTAAGACTTAGAGTGTTGCCGTTCTCAACAGGCTCGTTCAGAGCAACTGATCCTCACAAGCCTCACGTGCAGCCCAGACAGCTGCTCTAGTCATCATGGCAAACAGGAGGCAGCCCCACAAGGGGGTGGAGAAGTGCTGCTGCTCAAAACTCCCCTGGTCTTTTGGGTCTGTGGCCAAGCAGGAGAGCGTAGCAGTGCATTGCTAAATCAGACTGGCCCTGAGGCCTAATAAAAGTGAAGATCATGTTTCCTGTGTGATGATACAGGAGTGGGTGGGGTGGGGTGGGGTGGTAAAGCTTATATTCTGTGAACCGCCTGAGACCCCTGGGTATAGGGCGGTATATAAATTTAATAAATAATAATAATAATCCCTGACAGGTGCCAGACAAAGTCAGTTTAGGAGTTTTTTAAAAAAGTTAAACGTCTGCATCTCAGGGGGGAAAGCATCTGAAAACAGAACTTGGAAAGGCGGTCATTTTGTGGAATTTGTTGACACCTGAGTATCTTTCCCTTTTGTTTCTGAAATCTTCATGGCTACAAAGTCAGCACAGGACTATTCCCTTTATCTTCAGTCTTGGAGAAAAGCAGAAGGGAAACTTGAAGGAAGTCCAGAGCTTTCATTCCAGCCATCTCTGATTAAAGGATTCTTGGTGGCAAGATTAGAAAGACCCCTCCTGGACAGCTGCTACCATTCAGTCCACACCATGTAGAGAGAGACATGCACACCAGAGCAAGGGCTCTGTGACGTCCGCACTAAACAATAAAATAAAATTCTGCATCCAGACAATCTGAATCCTACATTTTAAAAAATGAATGTTGATGCCTGATATGTTGCTTGTGCTCTTTTTTTAGACTCTCATTTAGCATAATTTATTCTTCAGTGTTTCCCTTCCTGCATAGTTTCTAGTCATGGGGAGGAGCGATGTCAGGCACCACTTTTAACCACAGGAAATCAAGGTTAGCCACTTCTCTGGCATTTCCAAATGTGTTGCTCACACTGTTTTTGGATGAAAGCAGAGATTCTCCAGATGTGGTGCCCAGTGCCATGTTCTGCGCCTTTTCTGTGGTCCTGTGGAATCATGGCAGGCACACACTCAAGAAAACAGATACACGCTTATAACATGGCTGCTTTTCGTAATAAGGATCCCTGCCAGAGCCACAAAGCCTGACATTATTGTACACTGCTGAATGCTCTAGTCTGCTCACTGCCTTCATTTGTTCTGCGAGAGCCTCTTCTGGGCAAAAGCCCCGGTGGTGTTTGTCCTTTTGGTTATGGATATAGCAGATTACACAGGATGTTATCAACAGTTCAAAATTGACTTCCCCCTGTGCAGTATGTGAAGCAGCACTTTAGTATTCATGCTCATGCATGTACTTGCACAAGCACTTGAATCAAGATGTATCCAGCCCTCTACTCCTTAGGCCCTCCAATCCTAAACCTGCTTACCTGGGAGTAAGTCCCATTGAATTCAATGGGGATTACTGCTGAGACAACGTGTAGGATTGCACTGTTGCTGGACTCCTATTTCCCCTGACTGTTGGCCATAACTGTGGGAGCTGATGGGAGCTGGAGTGCAATAGCATTCTTTGCTCTAGAGGCTCTGAGAAGTGGGTTCAGCCCTAAAGACTGACAGCTGTTGCTGTCTCAGGCTGAGCAATCTTTTAAGAAGCCCTGCTATAAGGCTGTTTTCTGCAGATGCAATAGAGGCGATGAAGAAGGTCCTCTTTGCCATCACCATCGCCACTTGGTAGGCTCAACATTGAGCTCTAACCCGTGTCTGGTCCGATTTCCGCCACCAGCGCTCTAGCCGTCTCAGCGATTGTTTCATCACCCTCAGCTCCGGGAGAAACTGAGGGAGAAGACACTTCAGAGCCAGACAGTCAATAGCCCTGGTTAACTCCGTATTCCAACGGGTCACCGGGGAATCAGCTGAAAGGCGATCAACATGGGATAAAGCATCCCCTACCACTCTCTGGAAACCGTTTGGATCCATTAAGTGACGGGGGCGGACCATCCGAATCAGTCCCACCTCCCTGCAGAGGGGAAGGGTCTCAGAGAAATCCAGTTGCACCAGGAAGTGATCTGACCATGGCACTTCTTTTGTTTTGCTTTTACTTAGTGTCAGGGGTTCAGGAGCAGAGGCAAGGGCAAGGGAGGAAACAGAGAGCGAGGGGGAGGAGGCAGAAGAAAAGATGAGTGATGACGACGACCCGAGATCTCCGAGTCTTTCCAGTGAATCAGAAGATTCACAGAAAGGAGCACCAGTGGCCAGGGCAAGGGGAGCCTAGGGGACGCCCCAGGAAGATAGAGCCAGAGGGGACTCAGAGGGAGCAGTTGGAAAGCGGGACCAGCGTCACCGCCAGAGAGCAGGGAAGAGGAAGGAGCCAGGGATCAAGCGCTGGCAGCTCACAACAGGGGAGGGCACGAGTCAGGAGTGGCCACACCTCCATCGGGGAGCGAAGAAACGGTCAGACGGAAGGTGGAAGGTTGGGCGCGCCCGCCAACTTCCAATGCACAGGAAGGTGGCACAGTAGGCAGCCCGGAACGGGAGCCAGGTCCTAAAGCCCGCCGAAAGGAGGGAGAAGAGTCAGGGGGGTCAGCGTCAGAGGAATCCCGGAAAGAAGAGACCCCAGGGGGCAGAGGGACCCAGAGAAGAACAGTCAGGCGGAAAAGGTGGAGCAGGGCTAGGATATTAAGTTGGTGTACAAGGGGCGGAGACTCAGACGGAGCTTCGCCGGTCTAACCATGAGACGTAGAGTTGCACGCAGCAGTTTGAGAATGGAAACTGTAACTCAATAAAGACTTTTGTTTAATGATCGCTGGCTAGCGTGATCCTCTGTGAGCTAGGATCTGGAAGCAGCTCTGACAGTAAGCTCCGTCTCCAGAAATTGTGGGCATCTACAGCCTCGCGGAGAGGAGAGAAAGCGGGTGCCTACTAGCGAGCTCACGAAAGGCAGACAATATGACGGCCGAACAGCAGATAGCGGAACTCAGAGAAGCAGTGTCACGACTGAATGCCGAGGCTCTTGCATCCAGGAAGAGAGAGGAGGACGCAGCTGCCGCCTACAGGGATCTCCAGGTCAGGTTGGAAGTGCTTACGAAGCAAGGGCAACTGACACCCAAACCGGAGGGATTGGGTTGGGGAGACGAACAGGCGGTCTGGTCTCTCACTTCGATGGGAATTTGCAACAGTACCCCAACTTTAGAGCAGATGTAATGTGTGCACTGCAACTGCTGGACAAAGACTTTAGAGATGAGCAAGAGAAGGTGGGATTCATCATGTCCCATTTGCATGGAGATGCTAAAGCATGGCTGCGCAATTTGTGGAGAGATAAGGATCCGGCGCTCCAAAATGCGGATGCCTTTATTAAAGCGATGGATGGGTGCTTTTATCAAGCATTGACGTGGATCTTGCTCGGCAGCAGATACATGGACTGAAGCAAGGGAGGGCCAGCGTAAGGCAGTACCATGCCCGCTTTTTCGCTTTGGTCAGTGCTCTGGAATGGGACAGAGATTCGGCTCCTGTAAGAGACCTGTTTTGGGAGGGATTGCACGGCTCGGTTAAAGATGAAATTGCGAGGGGAGAGACCCGGACCACGCAGGAGATCGTTCAGAGGGCGCTGGCGGTGGGGGTGCGGCTGGAAGAACGTCCGTGGAGCAGGGACGAAGGGCGTGGAGGGCGCGAACCAGCCAGGGGCTCCTCCTTCCTTCCCAGAGAAGCAGCGCGTGCGCAATCCACGCCTCCGCCAGGAGGAGGAGCGGAACCTATGGAGGTTGGAGGTGCAAGGGCTCAGTCAGCAGCCAGAGCCCTAGCACCGGCAGCAGTGAGCGAAGCCTCCTAGAGGGAACAGGAAGTGTTACATCTGCGATGCTCCACAGCATATGGCGAAAGAGTGTCCCCAGAGGCTCCACAAGCACACTGCAGCTTCAGCAATGGTAACTGCAGCAACGCAGCAAGGAGAACCACAGCAGGGAAACGACGGAGTCTGGTTGGAGGAAGAGGCACTGGGGCCCAGCCAGACGTGTCAGTGAAGCAGTCCCCAGAGATTTTACAGCCCATGGACCCCCTCCCGCCCAAACCAGTAGTGAGGCTCACCGCGTCGCTCCAGCTGCCCAATGGAATCACCATGGACGTGCCAATCACCATTGACTCCGGAAGCAATGCGGACTTTATAGGGCAGGACTTTGTCGACCGGCACGCTATACAGTTGCTGCCTGCCACGCTGCCCCTGCAGGTTGTCACGGTGGATGGCAGGGAGCTGCTAGGGGGGCAAGTGGTGAAGCAGACGCCACCAATGGTGATGCGGCTTGGGAATCACAGGGAAATCATCAGCTTCAATGTCACTCAACTATCGGACACGCCCATTGTATTGGGCATGAGTTGGCTGGACAAGCACAGCCCGACGCTGGCTTGGTACCAGAGGCAGCTGACCTTCGGCTCTTCCTTTTGCGCTGAACACTGCATCGTGCCCCGGCAGGAAGGAGAGGAAGAGGAGTCACAGCTGCAGCTCGGCACGCTGCAAGCGGTTCCCCACAAGTACGCAGCATTTTTGGAGGTTTTCTGTGAGAAGGAGGCAGACAGGCTACCCCCCCACAGACCATATGACTGCAAAATTGACCTGCTGCCGGGGGCGGCGCTGCCCAAAGGGAAGCTGTATTCCATGTCTGAGGACGAACTGCAGGAACTCAAAGAGTTCATAGATCATAATTTGGAGCGCGGTTTCATCCGAGAGTCCAAGGCAGCGGGGGCAGTCCGGTATTCTTTGTTAAGAAGCGGGACACGCCCCAGAAAAGACTTGTAGTGGACTATCGCATTTTGAACAGCGTGACCAAGCCATCGGACTTCCCCATGCCCCGAATCGACGACCTCCTCGCAAAGGTACGGAAGGGCAGCGTGTTCACTAAGTTGGACCTGCGAGGGCGTACAACCTCATTCGCATGCGGGAAGGAGATGAATGGAAGACAGCCATCGACACGCCCCTGGGCACCTACGAATATAGAGTTATGCCTTTTGGATTGCAAAATGGTTCCCACGATTTTCAAGCTTTCATGCATCACGTGTTGGCGGGGCTCCTCTACAAGACGTGCGTCTGTTTCTTGGATGACATCCTGATCTTTTCGGAATCGCAGCAGGAGCATGACAGACACGTCAAGGAAGTGCTGAGCAGGCTACAGCAACATAGGCTTTACGCCAAGCTGGAGAAGTGCCAATTCGACGTGACGGAGGTGGATTTCCTGGGCTACAAGTTGTCTGATAAAGGGCTCGCCATGGACAGCGCCAAGGTCCGAGCAGTGTTGGATTGGAAAAGCCCACGCAACCGGAAGGAGGTCCAACGGTTTGTCGGCTTTGCGAACTTCTATCGCAAGTTTATCAAAGGCTTTGCCATGCAGACAGCGGCCATCACGGACACGCTCAGCTCCAAGAAAAGGAAGTTCATCTGGACAGAGCAGGGGGAGCAGTCCTTTCAGGCACTCAAGCGTCTCTTCGCGTCGGAAGAGCAACTGCTTCATGTCAACCCCAGCAAGCCGATGAGGGTGGAGACAGACGCTCGGACAGAGCCGTGGGAGCAGTCCTGCTGCAGAAGGACCCGCAGGGGGTTTGGAGGCCGGGAGCGTTTTACTCAAGGAAGCTCAGCAAGTCCGAACAGAACTACACCATCTGGGACAGGGAGTTGCTGGCCATTCATGCAGCGTTCAAAGCGTGGAGGCACTTCCTGATCGGCGCCAAGCACACGGTGCAGGTCTGCACGGACCACAAGAATCTAGAGCACTGGCGCACGGCACAGTTCCTGAACCAGAGGCAGATACGTTGGGCTGAGTTCTTTGCGAATTTCGACTTCCGAATAGAGTATGTCCCGGGGGACACCAACATCATGGCGGATGCTCTCTCCCGTAAGCCGCAGTATCTAGAGGAGGCAACGCCAGCGGCCGCCATGCACATCTTCGCACCGACAGTGTGGGCGTGCACGGCGGCAACAGTTGACCTGGAGGCGGTGCGACGAGCGTTGCAGGATGACTCCTTCGCGCAAGCAAAGATGGCAGAGGCGCACAGGGGCACGGCAGCGACCGACGAGTTCCAGCTGCGAGATGGTTTGCTCATCCGTAAAGGGGCCATCTACGTGCCGGGAGAGCGAACTTCGCGCCAAGGTACTGCAGCAGCTGCACGACGCGCCCACTGCCGGGCACTTTGGCAAGGAGAAGACGGTGGAATTAGTAGCCAGAGACTTCTGGTGGCCAGGAATGAGAGGGAAGTCGCGGACTACGTGGCGAGGTGTGACACCTGCCAGAGGGCCAAACCAGTGCACAGACCGCCGGCCGGATTGCTGGAACCGCTGCAAACTCCGTTCGAACCATGGGAGAGAGTGGCCCTGGACTTTGTCACGGATCTGCCCAGCTCGAGGGGCAAGACGGCTGTGCTGGTGGTGGTGGACTTGTTCTCCAAGATGGCACATTTCATTCCGTGTGCGAAGGTGGCCACGGCGGAACAAACAGCCAAACTGTTCATAGACCACGTGTTCAAGGTTCACGGTCTGCCGCGGTCTATTCTGTCCGACCGAGGGCGACAGTTCATCTCGAACTTCTGGCAGCGGCTGATGGGCTTCCTGAACGTCAAGATCAACCTGGCGTCGGCTAGACACCCGCAGACCAATGGGCAAGCGGAGCGGGTCAATGCCATCATGCAGCAGTACCTGAGATGTTATGCGAATCAACAGCCTGCGACGTGGGTGGATTACCTGCCTCTCGCCGAGTTCGCCTACAACAACACGAAGCACGTGTCCACGGGGGTCACGCCGTTCTTCGCCAACAACGGGAGGCACCCCAGAACCTTCCCGGGACTGGAAAGAATGGGGGAGGGGGGCCGCAGACAGCAGATGCATTCGCGTCGGAGTTGCAGGAGGTCCACGATCAGCTGCGGCGGCACCTGGAGCTGGCTAAACACGCATACAAGGTACAAGCGGACAAACACAGAAGGGTTGGCGAAGAGATCCATGTGGGAGACTGGGTCTGGTTAGCAGCCCACGCAGTGCCGGCCAGGTCGTTGGCGAAGAAGAAACTAGGGCATAAACAACTGGGGCCCTACCAAGTCGAAGAACAGGTCAACCCGGTGGCTTTCAGGCTGGCTCTTCCGGAGGGTTCCAGGATGCATCCGGTGTTCCACAGATCGGTGCTCACTCCATACAAGGCACCTCACAGGTTTCAGGAACCAGGAACGGCACCGGGTCCGCTCCGAGAGAGAACCGGGCAGTGGCACGGGAGGAGCGCATCAACGAAGCCACGGAGATTTTGGACTCCAGATGGGGGAAGAGGGGTAGAATACCTTCTTGCCAAGGAGGGCACCCCGGCCAGTGCCAACAGCTGGGTGCCGGGCTACGCTTTAGACGAACCTCTGCTCAAAGAAGAGTTTCATGCCCTCTTCCCACATAGGCCAATGCCAGCAGACTTTTTCGACGACTGGCTTTTCACGCCCACGCTTTCAGCCAGCACGTTCCGGGGGTTCGACTCGGACGAGGAACCGACACGAGACGCCCGTTCCCCGGAAGGGTCACCCTCGGGATCTGCTTCAGAACCCTCGTATTGGTGGGATGATCGACCAGAGGAGCAGTTCCGCAGAAGGTGGCTGGAGGGTCCAGGACGAGCAACGTCTCCAGAAGGTAACGAGGAGAGACGGACATGGACGTTTCGGGACGACCCGGGTTTCGAGCACGGCGGCACAGAGATGGACGCGGAGGTGACCGTCGTCAACGGGAGCAGGGAGGAAGAACCGGAAGACTTCAGATGGCGGCCCGCCACGGGAAGCGAACTGTATCCGACATTCGTCCCCCTGACACGGCAGCACCCAGATCCCGCACCGGAAGGAGGGGAGGGGAAGAGGGGGCTTCGAGGGGGATGGATGTCAGGGGTTCAGGAGCAGAGGCAAGGGCAAGGGAGGAAACAGAGAGCGAGGGGAGGAGGCAGAAGAAAAGATGAGTGATGACGACGACCCGAGATCTCCGAGTCTTTCCAGTGAATCAGAAGATTCACAGAAAGGAGCACCAGTGGCCAGGGCAAGGGGGGAGCCTAGGGGGACGCCCCAGGAAGATAGAGCCAGAGGGGACTCAGAGGGGAGCAGTTGGAAAGCGGGACCAGCGTCACCGCCAGAGAGCAGGGAAGAGGAAGGGAGCCAGGGATCAAGCGCTGGCAGCTCACAACAGGGGGGAGGGCACGAGTCAGGAGTGGCCACACCTCCATCGGGGAGCGAAGAAACGGTCAGACGGAAGGTGGAAGGTTGGGCGCGCGCCCAAGTTCAAATGCACAGGAAGGTGGCACAGTAGGCAGCCCGGAAAGGGAGCCAGGTCCTAAAGCCCGCCGAAAGGAGGGAGAAGAGTCAGGGGGGTCAGCGTCAGAGGAATCCCGGAAAGAAGAGACCCCAGGGGGCAGAGGGACCCAGAGAAGAACAGTCAGGCGGAAAAGGTGGAGCAGGGCTAGGATATTAAGTTGGTGTACAAGGGGCGGAGACTCAGACGGAGCTTCGCCGGTCTAACCATGAGACGTAGAGTTGCACGCAGCAGTTTGAGAATGGAAACTGTAACTCAATAAAGACTTTTGTTTAATGATCGCTGGCTAGCGTGATCCTCTGTGAGCTAGGATCTGGAAGCAGCTCTGACACTTAGTGTCAGATCACCAACATCCATAGAGGTGAACACCAGGTCTAAGACATGTCCGCGGCTATGAGTTGGGCCAGACTTATTCAGGGACAGCCCCATGGAGGCCATGCTTTCCACGAAGTCCCGAGTGGCCCTTGTAAGGTCGTGTTGGCATGGATGTTAAAATCCCCTAGGATAAGGTTACCAGGCATCCCCATTTCCTGGGGACAGTCCCTGGATTTACAAATCAGTCCCCATACAAAATCCATTTAAGTTGACTAGTGTCCCCGGATTCATTGAAAACAATCTGGTAACCTTACCCTAGGACAACCAAACTAGGTGTCTCCAGGAGCACATCCATCACAACCTGAAGCAGCTCAGGCAGGGAGTTCTTGATGCAGGGAGATCCTTGACCTTCTCTGGGTCTCCATGCCTTCTGCCCAGTCACCATTGCATAATGGGAAACCCATATTTGCAGACACAGCCAACTTGCTTGCTGCCAGTGCCAGGTCCATTTTTGCTCTCATGCCTAGTCCCAAACCACAACACCCAGGGCCAGCCCCAGACATTTTGGTACCTGAGGTGAACCACAGAATGGTGCCCCCTTCTCACCAGGAAAGAAGGGAGGAGTGAAGCTAAACACCAGGAGCAATGGGGGGATAAAGATCTACATTGGGATCCACTGCCTCCGGGGACCCTGCTGCCTGAGGCGGTTGCCTTGCCTTGCCTTGCCTCATGGGTGAGCCATCCCTGACGGCACCCCCACTCTAGCGTTCCCGTCCACCCTGCTGTCAAGTTGCACTGCAAGATGTTTCATTGGCGCTCTCTTTCCAGGTCAGTCGTCTTTTGAGAACGAGCCGAGGTTCCCCCGCTTCCCAGCCCATCGGCTGCCTGTCTATGCCATCAAGCGCAAGCCCAGTGTGGATGTGAGAAGCCCTGAACGGAGCTTGCATGGGCAGAGGGCGTCGAAAGTCAAGCGATCGACCTGCGGGCCTGTGGCAGCGTGAGTGACCTTCAGGACCACCAGGGGGCGTTGTAGCATAAGGGCTCAGCATTTTTGAAGCAACTTTTGAAATGTTTGGGCTCCGGCCTCTGGCAACCCTTAAAACAGCCCTGCAAGGTGTGTCAGTCTGCCCCTCACCATGGTGCTCATGGCCAGCCAAGGGTGACACAAGACTTGCTGATTTATAGGGTTCTGACATCCGGTTGCATCACAATCTCCAGGCACAGCTTCGCTCTTTAAAGCTCCATGTCCAAGAGGGTTTGGGTTTTTGCCCTGGCACTAACCCCAGGAAAACCCACCTTTTACCAGTGAATCAGAGCAAATGGTTCTCCATAGAAAACTGCTGATTTTGCCAGGATAGGGGCAGAAACAATGGCTTCAAGTTGTAAGACAGGAGGTTCTGACTTAACACCAGAAAGAACTTTCTAACATTAAGAGCTGTTTGACAGTGGAACAGTCTCCCTCAGGAGGTGGTGGACTCTCCTTCCTTGGAGCTTTCTAAGCAGAGGTTGGATGATGCTTTTCTTGTATGATGATCTAGTTGAGAGTCCTGCCTTGCAGGGGGTTGGACTAGATGACCCTTGGGGTACCCCCCACTTCGTGATGCTATTATTCTCTCCCAGCCCTACCTGGAGATGCTGGGACTGAACTAGGGGTCTCTGCATGCAAAACAGGTGCTGTGGCACTTCCTCTAATCCCGCCAGCTCCCCGTTGTGCAAGAAGAGTGATCCCACACTGCACAGCCCAGAAGCCTCTGTCCCAGGGCAGGGTTTCCTGTGTGCCTTCTGGGCGCTCTGTGCTGGGTGCTGCCCAAGTCACAAACAGATTCTTGCCACTTCCAGGTTGACGGTTGAACAGCTAAAGCTCTGAACCGCGCCTAGAAAATACTGTCTGCAATCCCGGTGGAGCTATGTGTAGTGGGGACGTTGTTAGGAGAAGACAACGCAGGAAGCAAAATGGGTGTAAAAGCGTAGATATATGAACATACAGGATTTGATTTATTATAATTATGAAGACAGCTCTCTCAGTTCATTGACCAAGTACTTTACCATGTTTTATCCAATTTCTCCTAATGTTTTATCCAATTTTCCCTACTCTTGTGGAGTAGGTCACTGTTATTCCCATTTCATAGATGGGGAAAATGAGCCTTGAGTCCAGAGATCATGATTTGCCCTCACCTAGTCCATCTTTCAATAAGCACTGAAGGCCACTACTTTTGCAAAACATGTTTTTATTCTGAATTAATTTGCTCTAACATCTGCTTTTAGAGCTATGCCGTTGCTGGCATACGTTAGAATCCCCGATGCACTGATAAATGTGAGAGAAGCAGTGCAGCACAGTGGTTAGCGTGCTGGACTAGAACTTGAGAAACCAGGATTCAAATTCTCCCTCAGCCATGAAGCTCACTGGGTCACCTTGGGCCCATCCTATTTTCAGACTAACCTACCTCACAGGATTGTTGTGAGGATAAAATGGACGCTGTACTCTGTAAAAACCATGTGCACTGTCTGGAGGCCCTTGGAGGAAGGGTGAGATATAAATGTAGTGTAGAAAGTGAAAAGCCCTTCCTTATCCCCAGTGCTTATTTTTCTAGAAAAAGAGGTGCTGGAACTCACCACACCTTGTTCTCTTAGCATGGCAAAGGCACCACCTGAGTTGTGGCTGGAAAAAAAGCCCTGCTCATTCCCACTCTTCAGTCTAGGTCGCCGTGTTAATCTGACACAGTCAAAATATATAAAAAAATAAAAAAATTGTCCAGAGGAACCTAAGAGACCAACTAAGTTTGTTCTTGGTATAAGCTTTCTGAAGAAGTGTGTATGCGCAAAAAAGCATAAGCTTTTGCGCACAAAAGCATAACCAAGAACAAACTTCGTTGGTCTCTTAGGTGCCACTGGACAATTAATTTTTTTATATATTTCCACTCTTCGGTGGTTAGAGTATTGGACCCGAGAGACCAAGGTTCAAATCCTCACTCAGCCATGAAGCTCACTAACTAGTCATCCTCAGGCCAGTCCCAATCTCTCAGCCTGACCTACCTCACAAAGTAGTTGTGAAGATTAAATGCGCAGAAGGATAGTCATGTTTGCCACAGTGCGCTTCTTGGAGAAACAGTGACATACAAATGTACAAACACACAACTTTATCAAATGTATTCAGAGTAGAAGACTAAATTTCTTTTGTAAATTAGGCATTATATTTTCTGTAGTTAAGCCTAAGGGTGCACATATTTATAGGCATGCCAATTGTCTGGAAATGATGGTTTCCTACTTTAAAATGGTCCCAGTGCCATGGGGACCAGGCACATTTTAACTGGGAAGGAAGAGCCTTGGGCAACTCATTAATTTCTCAGCTTCAGTCCCTCAAGTGTAGAATGAATAAGCTGTATAGACTATTTTATATTAATTGTATAGGTTGTGCTTATATTTAAAACAAAACTGGGGGTAGGAATGAATTCAAGCCGTAGTTCTGTCTGTGGGTATAAAGCTGTAGTTAAAATGACTTACAGGGTGACACCCACATTACTGGGTGGCCTCTTCAAGATGCTCTGAGCCATATTCTGAAGTCTCGTTTCTCCAGATGCCACCTTCTCCTCTGCCAGTGCATGAAGACTAACAGAGGACATGGGTTTCTGCTCTCCTCCCAGTTTATTGTCACAACAACCCTGTGATCAGGCTGAGAAACGGGACTGGTCCAACGTCTCCCAGAGAGCTTCATCTAGTCACCTCCTGACCAGCAAGTTCTAGCACAGGGTCACTGCTTAGCCTGGCATCCAAGTGGCAGAGAATTGCCAAGAGATCTAGTGTGGGGTCAGGCATGCTTCCTTCCGCATTGCAGACAGGGCTTAACTTCCGCAGGGAAAGTGACAAAGTGCAAGACTTTAAGGAAGAAACATGACGCTCCATCCCTAATCCCTGAAGTGGGGGGGGGGGTTGGTGGGTGAGGGGAGAGCACTTTGCACCACTTCTTCACTGCTGTTTCCTGTGATGTGAGGCTAAGACCCCAGATTCCAAAGAGAGACTCTCTAGATTATTATTATTAATTAATTAATCAAATGTACAAAGAATGGATGATTTTGAATTATGGTGCTGGAGGAGACTCTTGAGAGTCCCATGGACTGCAAGAAGATCAAACCTCTCCATTCTGAAGGAAATCAGCCCTGAGTGCTCACTGGAAGGACAGATCATGAAGCTGAGGCTCCAAGACTTTGGCCACCTCATGAGAAGAGAAGACTCCCTGGAAAAGACCCTGATGTTGGGAAAGATGGAGGGCACAAGGAGAAGGGGACGACAGAGGATGAGATGGTTAGATAGTGTTCTCGAAGCTACCAGCATGAGTCTGACCAAACTGCGGGAGGCAGTGGAAGACAGGAGTGCCTGGCATGCTCCGGTCCAGGGGGCCACGAAGAGTCGAACACGACTAAACGACTAAACAACAACAAATATGCTATCTTTCATCCATAGATCTCAAGGCAGTTCACAGCATGGCAATTGGCCCTCAAATAGGCTGTGGCTCCGTGCAGGAGCAGATTTCACATATGGATTAATCTAGCCCTGTAATCCAGTATCATTTGTACAGCGGCGGAGCATATGCCCGCGCTGCCCAGGGCGGGTGCACTCCTGAGGAGGTGAGGCACAGAGGGGGCCTCCCAGGTGTGGGATAGCTGCTCGGGTGCACAGAGCGGCGCACGCACCCTCCATACTGAAGTGGTTTTCAACCAGTGTGCCATGGCACCCTGAGGTGCCTTGAATGATGGTCCGGAGTGCCGCGGGCAACACTGGCCTCTGTTCCTCTTTCCTCCCCTCTGATGCCCTCTCTTGTCTCTGCCTCCTAAAGGCTTGCACAGCTGTTTGTTGCAGCATCCCTGGCTACAAGCTCCCCAGGCGAAGGGTGCCTCTTGGGGTGGCCAGGGGGTGCTTCCCAGGCCCCTGTGGGGCAGTGTGAGGAGGCACCTCTCTTTGGGGCAGGGGGGGAGTAGTTGCCCCGAGGACTCCCAAGGAGAGAAGAGGAGGCTGAGGGAACACTCCACAAGGGAGGGTGTTTGGAAAAGGGTGAGGGTCTGCCAGTTCTGTGGACAAGGGGTGATATAACTGGGCTCCTGAGCCCCACAGGGGTGCCGCAGAAAGAATGTAGTTGGTTAAGGGAGCCATGGACTCAGAAAGGTTGGAAACCTCCGATATACTGTATAGGTGACTCTATCTCTCTCTTCAGCTCCCTGGAACAGAGGGTTCCTCCTGCTGCACAGATCCCGATTGCTGTTCCCTGTGTCACCATGTCCAGACCTGAGCCTTGCAGAGACTCTCAAGCGCTTCACCCATCCTGCCCACATAAATGCCCCCTGCGGAAGCCCCTCCTGGAGCCAGCCCTCACTGTCTCCCAGTTGCAGCAGGTAAGTCCTGGCTAAGCGCTCCTTCCACCTTCACCTTGTCGTTCCTCATCTCCAGCTCAAAACACCTCTTTCCCTGATCTTTCAGATGCGGCCTTCAGTTATCACCTGCGTACCCCGCCGGAGCTGGCCAGAGAAACCTGAAAGCACCAGCCCTGCAGTGAGTCCCCATTTCCCCTTCTCTCTCTCTCTCTCTCTCTCTCTCTCCTCTCTCGCAGTCTCTTCCCCAACCTGCTGACTAAGGATTGATGGGAGTTGTAGTCCAAGCCACAGAGAACTAAGCTTTTCTTAGGCAGGAAGAAGGGGGTGCTTCTATTTATTTTCATTCTATTTTTGTAAAGTTTTACATTATTATTTCATGTTATAATGTATATAAAACAGAGATGCCAATTATAACACCAAATGACCTGCTTATTGAGCATTCATCCTGATTTGTTTGCAGGCAGATCATACAATGTTGGATATTTAGTAAGCATCCATTCTCATTTGTTTGTGGGAAGATTAGAGGATGGTTGCATCAAACCATCAAATTCCTGACCTGCTACTTTCCTTATTGCAAAAAATCTGATCTCTTAAGTGGGTTTGTTGCGCAAGACCTCCCAATCAATTATAATGGTGCGACCTGAATGTGTCAGTACAGTGGTACCTCAGGTTACATACGCTTCAGGTTACAGACTCCGCTAACCCAGAAATATTACCTCGGGTTAAGAACTTTGCTTCAGGATGAGAACAGAAATCGTGCTCCGGCGGCGCAGCGGCAGCAGGAGGCCCCATTAGCTAAAGTGGTGCTTCAGGTTAAGAACAGTTTCAGGTTAAGTATGGACCTCTGGAACACATTAAGTACTTAACCCGAGGTACCACTGTATGTGATTGAACCCAACCCAAAAACAGGAGCTGCCTGGAAGTGTCCTCAGGTGACTTTTATGTCACTGTAACTGTCATGGCTTCTCCCAAAGGATCATGGGAATTGTAGTTTGGTCACACTGCTGAGAAATCTGTTAGAGACCCCTAGTTTTGCCAGACCCTCAACATAACTGCATTTCCCAGGGAATTCCCAAAATCTGTATATGAGGCCCCCTTTTACAGCATAATGTCAAATATTTGTTTGTGCAGAGTACATGCAGTCCTGATTCTAATTCACACACAATTCCCATATATATTTGCTCAGATAAACGTGCTGTGCATTTGGAAGGCAGAGAGGGGATGGTAGAGAAGGACCTAGAGGAGAAGTCACAGAGTAGTTACTCCCCCCACAGAGCACCCTTTAACCACCCTGCTGCTCTCACAGCTGGGGGGGGGAGAGGTTGAGGGTTGCTTCATCTGTTCACCGCCTGGTTTTCAATTCACATACGGGATTATGAGCACAGAACCAGATGCTGAGGGGGCAGGAGAGCAGGCCAGGTTATGGCTTTTTGCAGGTGTCATCAGAAGCCCATATTTCCTGACCAAACCTGTTTTCCCCCAACAGATCACCCCATCAGACCGCAGGAGCACGAACTCTGATCCTGCCCCCCCACAGAGGCTCCATGCATGGACCACGGGCTCTGTGGGGCCTTCAGCACAAGTCAGCAGAGAAGCATCTCCCAAGCAAAGAATCCAGCGTGCAGACAAGAATCCCATCCCCAGCGCTTGAAGCTCTTTGGCTTTGACCTAGCAGGTCCCTCCTGTGTCCCTGTTGTCCAGCAATGAGGAATCCTCCAGATGTTGCTGGACTCCCGATTCCCATCAGCCGGGGAGCCAGTAGGGAGAGACGATGGCAGCTGCAGTTCATCAACATCTGGAGAGCCACAGGTTCCCTGCCCATCTGTATTGGCTATCCTTGGACCCCTAAGCCCAACCCCCATCCCTTTTTATGGCCAAGTAGCTGTCCATATTCCTACACCATGTCCCTGGCTCAGTGCCCTCCTTCCCTACACCTTGTGTTCTTATTCCCCTTCTAGACCTACAAATTGAACTGCCTTTCCTGTCTCAAACCCATTTATGTGAAAACCCTGCTGGTTCCAATGGAACTGACTTCTAAGTCAGCATGCTCCTTTAACACAAGAATTGCTCTTGCCCGGTCAGATACCACGGAGGGTCCATTCCAGTCCCATTCTGCTTTCAGCAGGAGCCAGGCCAGTGCTCCTGGGAAGTGAAGATGGAGCAGGTGCAAAGGCAAGAGCCCTGTAGTGACCCGGGTTCCAGAATGGTGATGTGTATAAAGCCTAAAATTCCAGCCTCTGTGCTGTGCACAGAGACTGGAACTGGAACTGAGAACGGAAAGTCTGAAAACCTCATACACTCCAGGAGTCCAGGTGATGTGTAGCCAGCAGGTGATGGCTAGAAACTTCCCACCTTGGTTTCCCCAGTGCAAACAAGCAGATAAATTCCAAGAAAGTACAAGAAAAGAAGAAATAGTGCCCGATCCAGCACTCATAGGAAGATCCAAGAATCACAAGTAGCCTCTGACAGAGGAACCAAACTAAGACAAAATATGGACCCTTTCCTACGTGGGACTCAGCCCTGAAAGTGGAGGAGAGCCATTTTAAAAAACACATCATTTTATATTTCTCTAATTCATGAGTGTCAATAAAGTCGCGTTGAACTGTGTCTTGTGTGTGCAGTAAGATTTCTGCTTGTGGTGCTTTTGGGTTTTTTGGCCTCAAAGCACTCTCTGGGTAAAGTGTTCAGGTTTGGTAACCAGCGTTGGATCGCCATTCACTTTGTAGAAGTAACTGTTGCCAATTCTGCCCGAAATTAAATCTAATGTTTTAGTCCTGTTAAGCCTGTTCCATTACCATGGGGAAAGCAAGCCCTGAATTCTAGTTTATATATACTGAGAGGCCTAACAGAGACTGATGCAAAACCCAGAGGTCTCCACTTTATTGTGTCAGGGATATGTGTGTTAGATGAGTCCAAATGCAACAACCCAAATAGATGATTGTCTACCAGGACATCCCTTCCTACTCAGCTAATCACTACAATGGAATGTACTGCCCTACTATTACCTCTGCAACCTCAGCACACAGCCCAGCCCAGGAAATGCTTTTCACTCTGGAACACTTAGAACCTTTAAGAGCATTCCAGGACAACAGGGCAGGCAAGCAAATAGCTAGAGAGGTTATTGCCTTTTTTACAAAGCTCCTGTCATTGTTACTAATTTTTTAGCATATTGTCAAAGATACTGTTTTTCAGCCAATCTACATAGAATAATAGAATTGTAAGTCCAACCCCTTGCAATGCAGGAATCTCAAGACATGGTTTCCCATCCCATTTGAAACCATACTGGACCCTGCTTAGCTTTGCAAATGTGCGAGCAGTTTTATTGCTGCACCACTAGGAGGTACATACTTTTACACCATATTCATCTGTCTGCAAGCAGAGCTCTCAACAAACAGCCTAAAACATCCAGATGCAGAGTAGTGGTTGCTTTTACAGTAAATGAAAACAGTAGAATCCATAATGTGATTAAAATCTCCCACCTAGGACACACACTGGCCTGACATGCTAAGCATTTTTTTTTTAATTTCAAAAATAACAATCATATATTAAACAACAACCAACAAGCATACAATGAATTATATCTATGTGAAAATGAAAAAAATGCTTATGAAATGGGGGAAAGCTTATATGAATTAATATCCACATTACACAGTGTGTTGACATATAAGGCAACTTATTGTACTGATTATTCCTCAGTTCTCAAGGTCACCATTTCAAAAAGAGGAAGCAGCTATTGGGGGTTGCAAAGATGAAAGGAAGCTGACATTAGCCTGGCTCCTGGTAGTCTCCAGCACTGAAACCCACAGTTTCTTCAAAATCAGTCTGGGGGTGGGGGGCAGAGAGAAAGAGAGAGAAACGTGGTTAAATCCAGGGGAAATGCTGGGCTCCCCCATTGTTTTCTCCTCCCCAGAAGATCGCCACCAACTCACCTTCACAGGGGGGCACATTTTGGCATGGTGCTTGCTCCTCCACCACCAGCCCCTGTCCATCCAGCGGCTGGCAGTTGGGTCTTGGGCGCCCCCAGAAGCTGACGTTCAGTACCTTCCCGTTCTCTCCTTCCACTGTCATTCTGCAAGCCAGAGAGAAAGGATCACAATGAAGGGGCTGCTTGGCTTAGGAGGTCACACTCCCCTCCCCTGTTCCTCCAAACTGGCTTCTCTGAGACAATAACAACACGACAACTCCAGCAGGATATGTCTTCCCCCACCTCCCAACACAGCGTGTGGTACCACTGCACATTTAAGGCTGTGCCATACCACTTTATACAGTCATGGTTTCCCCCAAAGAATTCTGGGAGCTGCAGTTTTTTAAGGAGCGCTTGTAGGAGACCCTACCCCATTCCCCTCACAGAGCTGCAATTCCCAGAGTCCCCGGGAAGACCAATTGACTGTCCTAACAACTCTCAGTACGCTTAGCACACTTCAGTTACCAAGAGTTGTGTTTTTTTTAAGGAAGACATGACTTCACCCCACTGGATTCTGGCTCAGAGCACCCCAGATATTGTTGCTGGCTACCTTTTGTACTGGTTTTGCATGTGATTGCGAAAGACTCAGGTGTCTTTATATTCAGGGCCAGACTTAGGGGGTAACTAGGACCCTTTCCTGGATAATCCAGCAATGGAATCCCTCATTGGATTTTAACCCTTGCTGCATCCAGGACCCCAGGAATTAGAAGGGACTCAGTCATCATACAGCCTAACCCCTCCCTGCTCAAACTCACAACAGCCTATCTGTTTCCAATCTGATTTTATTTATTTTGATAAATTGTATGCCCATTTGTTTTTCATGTGTGATTTTTATCAGTATTATTAGAATATTAGAATCATAGAGTTGGAAGAGACCACAAGGGCCATCGAGTCCAACCCCCTGCCAAGCAGGAACACCATCAGAGCACTCCTGACATATGGTTGTCAAGCCTCTGCTTAAAGACCTCCAAAGAAGGAGACTCCACCACACTCCTTGGCAGCAAATTCCACTGTCAAACAGCTCTTACTGTCAGGAAGTTCTTCCTAATGTTGAGGTGGAATCTTCTTTCTTGTAGTTTGGATCCATTGCTCCGTGTCCGCTTCTCTGGAGCAGCAGAAAACAACCTTTCTCCCTCCTCTATGGGACATCCTTTTATATATTTGAACATGGCTATCATATCACCCCTTAACCTCCTCTTCTCCAGGCTAAACATGCCCAGCTCCCTTAGCCGTTCCTCATAAGGCATCGTTTCCAGGCCTTTGACCATTTTGGTTGCCCTCCTCTGGACACGTTCCAGTTTGTCAGTGTCCTACTTGAACTGTGAACATTCTTTATTGTTTTGTGCAAACTGCCAAGTAGTTTTTGCCTATTAACTCTTGTCAGATAAATACATGAATTCTGCACTAGCTGCAGCTGGCCAGTTAAGCAAGTCAGAAAGTGGTTTCGCAGGCTTGCCCTTCAAAAATGAAACAACTCCCTATTTCTCTCTCCCTCAACTCAACTCAGCTCTCTCTCTCTCTCTCTCTCTCTCTCTCTCTCTCTCACACACACACACACACACACACACTGCCCTTCCCTCATTTCATACTCACGGGTAATTGGGGTAGATGGCTTTGCACTCCCTCTTACGAGATTTCATGGGCTTCTCCCCACAGGGCGGGTTGCAGAGGCCCCATGGGCTCCATTCTGTCCAGGCTCCTTTCACTGAGAGAAGCCACACAAATCAGACCCACAGGCTTGGCATCCCTTGACTCCACCTCTGCCTACTGAACAACTACCATGAAGGGGACTGTAGCTCTGTGAGGGTTCTCCCAACAGCTCTCAGAACCCTTAACAAACTACAGCTCCCAGGATGCTCTGGGGGAAAGCATTACAACTATTAAAGGAGTATCAATATGGTGTCAATATGACAAGTAGAGTATCTGAAGAACCAGTGGGGCATGGCAGTGAGAGCCTCAGAAAGGGACCAGAAAGACATGGGACTCAGCTGCATGGTAAAAATAAAATGTTATAAATGCATTATAACATGTGATACCAGATGGTCCTGTACAGCTGGAATCAGAACTATAAAATTTTCCATTATGAGCTTTTAAAAAAAATTCAGAGCATTTCTTATAGTTGTGTAGATGCAGCCCTGCTCAACCTGAAGCACACAGGGTGGCTTTGGGCCAGGCATTCAAAAGCAAGGGGCAATAATCAGGTAGGGAGAGGCGGTTGGCTCACCTACCCTCTGCCATCGTGCCTCATGTCTACAGCTCACTAGGGCTGTATCTGTTTGGAAAGAGATATCAGATACTACACTTGATCTTAACCAAAAGGCCTAAGAGATGGGAGTCTGTTACAGAGAACTCACTTGTGAGCGGACAGGTGTAAGGTTGCACTATATGAGAACTGAAATTTTATGTTGGAGATGCACAACTTGGATCCAGGACTGGATAAAATTAAAAAACACAGATTTATTAGATTTGAAAGGGCACGACAATAGATTTGGTTGGCGTGCATATTTGTGGTACAACAAAGGGAAAATACAGAAAGCATTTTATAATCATATAATTAGGAGATCACTTTTAAGGGCATGGGGAAAACATAAAGAACTATTAGAACTAAAGACCCCATGGTAGGTTTCCCCTACAGAAGTAATTTCAATCAAAAAAATAAATAGGGAGAAAATATGGCCTACATATAGAGATTTGTTAATAGAAAAGGAAGGGAAGTTAATACTGAAAGAATATGAGGAGATTAAAGAATATGTGTATGATTGGCTGCAATATCGTCAATTAAATGAGGTATTTAAAAAGATTTTAAAAAGGTTTTAGCTTGAATATTTCAAGATTCCAAAGAGAAATTATAGAAGATAATACCAAATTGTTGAAGAAAACAAATAATTTATTATTAGAATGGGAAACAAAAGATGAAGAGGTAAAAAGTATAATGATTAAATGGGTGCAAGATATAGGACACAATAAAGAAATGGAAGAATGGGAAAAATTATGGAGAGTAAATTTGAAATTTACTGATTGTATTTTAATAAAAGAGAATTATATTAAAATGATGTTGTTGTTTATTCGTTTAGTCGTGTCCGACTCTTCGTGACCCCATGGACCAGAGTATTACACCAGAAAAAAATAGCAAAAAGGTATAGAACAGGTTCAAATAAGTGTTGGAAATGTAAAGAAAAGGAAATGTAAAGAAAATGAAGGCAACTTTTTCACATGTGGTGGAATTGCAAACTGATTAATAAGTATTGGGATATGATTTGTAATGAAATTAAGAAAATATTTAAATTGACCAGAAGCTTTTTTATTAGGTATTACAGGTTAAGATTTACTAAGAGAAAAGAAGAAACGCTTTATGTATGCTACAACTGCAGCTAGGAGGTTATTAGCCCAAAGATGGAAAAGCGAAGAAATACCAACTAAGGAAGAATGGCTACAAAAATTAATGGAATATGCTGAGATGGCAAAGTAAACAGAAAGACTCACGAGACTCAAGAGAGAATTTAAGAAAGAATGGGAACTTTTCATGTTGTACTTACAGAAACAATGTAACAATGTAAAGATCTAAACTCACTACCAGGATTTGAGTAAACATTTACAATTAACAACAGAAATAATAATTATCAATATGGACAATATGGACAATATCTGAAAGCAGGCAGGGTTTAATGGGGGGGGGGGACGGGGGACTGACCAGAAAAGGAAGTTGAGGGAAGTCGGGGGGAGGGGGGAAATTGAGGGAATGTATTTTGTTGATTTTGATATGTGGCAATGTGATAAAAATGTAAAATCCAATAAAAAATTATTTAAAAAAAGGAAAGAGATATCAAAAAGTAGAATCTTTGTTGCTGTTGTTTTTAAAAATCCACATGATAGAGGAATCATGAATGGCCTTATTAGATTGCACCATCCATGCCCAGCATTCTGCTTCCAGTGGAGGAGTCTTTGGGCTCTCAGAAGCAGGACACAGCCTCTCATTCACCACCCAGCACTTCAGGAGTATTGTCCAGGAGGCCTGAGCCCCAGGTGTTTGGCACTTTCCTCCCTTCTACCTGAATTGAAAATCCTTTTTTTATATATATAAGGCCACTTTCCCTCAGTGCTCACATCTGTGCACATCTATACATCAGCATATGCTGGTTTTAGCATACGTGTGTTGTGGGCCAGAGTCTTTGGGGGATCTAGCAACACCCCTATGGCAGCTTATTCAAAGAAATACGGCTTCTTTAATATGGAGGTTCCATTTAAATATCCTGGCTAGTTTTTAACAGAGTGACCTATACTCAAAACAAGTGCCTAATTCTGCTTTCTTTCTTTCTTTCTTTCTTTCTTTCTTTCTTTCTTTCCTTTCTTTTTAAACAAGCCACCCAAGAAATGGCCATCACATTGTGGGTGGGGAAGACAAAAAGAAAACTCAGATTACCCGGGGCTCCCAGCACCCTCCCATCCTCCAGGCTCACCCTTATGTGGCATTTCTGAAGCTTAGCCTTTCATATGGGTAGCTCCTTCCACCTCTTTTTATCCCCAATACTCACAAGAGCATAACTGGACATTGTAGCAGCTTCTGATATCCATGGTTGGCCCCACACAGCGCTTGCCCTCATGCGCCCGTCCAACGCATGTCCTGGTTCTCGCCTGAAGTCCAGTCAGCTCATCGCAGGCGATCCTGATATTACTGGCTTTCCTCTCACAGACACTCCATTCGGACCACTCCCTCCAGCGCCCGTCCACTGTGTGGCATTGCGGGAGAAGGAGGAGGGTCAAAAAGAATGCCAGCCAGCTTTGACGGTGGGCAAGGGCAGCCAGCCCCACAGTCCGGGGATGGGACTTGAGGGCCACCCCCCACCGTAGTCAGACACCCCCCCCCCCATCCAGGGAAATGAGAGTCACCATCCCAGTTCAAGGACACAACCAGGCAAAAATCGCTACAGGAGAGAACAGAAAAAGAAGGGGCATGTTCCGGGCAGAGCAGGAGCTATGTGGGGTGCAGCTGGAGCATTCCAGGGGCCAGATAGAGAAGTCTGGGGGGCCACATTTGGCCCAAGGCCTGAAGTTGTCTACCTTGATGTCAAGCAGATTCACAGGGAGGGGGAGGGGTATTGTAACTTGGAGCGGCCCTTGGGACCAGGGTTATAATTAAATATATATATATATATATTTATTAAATCTGCATTAGCATACAGCCATAGCAAAATAAGACAATACAAAAAAAATGTTGGGGACAAGCAACCAAGCAAAATTCAAAGCGATATTGCTGGCGTAATGACATTTAAAACACCCTAAGACAATAATACAAAGATTTGGTTGCCAGCACCAAAAAACTAGTATGGGGTTGGGGACTTCATATGTGTTAATTTGTACAATCCATCTACCTACTCCTCTTCCCATACAAATCGGTTTTGGGAGGATCTAAGATTTATCCTTGATAAATCTGTGGCTGAATTCCCAAAGTCAGAGATCCTCATAATGGGGGACTTTAATGCCAGAATCGGAGCAGATATAAGCTCATTCACCGATAAGTCGCAACTATTCATAGAAGAGGAGTGGTTTCCTACGTGGAATTCACATGACAAGACCATTAATAGGGCTGGCATCATACTGTTGGAGTTTACCATTAACTGCGGGCTGCACAGCTTGCATGGTACACCCAAAGACTGGTCCGGGAATACTATACTTTTCTAGGATCTAGAGGGGCAAGCGTTATAGATTATATCTGGTCCTTTTCGGCACTTAATGATAAGGCATATTGTTTCAATGTGTTCAACAGAACCGAAAGTGACCACCTTCCTATTGCCATCTCCTTCCACCACACACAGCTGGGGCCCCCAGCTCACTCCCCCACCAGGATTCACTGACCTTAGCCCCCGGTCGTAAGAAGTGGGATATCTATTTGGAGCAAGACATAAAAGTCCTCCTAAATTCCCCTGAGATCCTAGCCCTGAAAGCTCAGCTGGTAACAATGAATGTGAATCATTTCTCAAGTTTCCAACAAATTCTAGCCTACTTGCTCCCAACACTTACGAAACCCTCCCGTGCGAGTCTAACCTGGAAGAACCAAACTTGGTTCGACCAAGAATGCAAACAGTGCAGAAGTAGGCTTAGATTTCTTCAGTCTGATATGAAATCAGACAGCACCCAGAGCAAAATCAGGGAGTTAGCCCAATTCCGTTCTTACTACAAGAAGTTGCTCCAACATAAGAAATTGATCTTTGCGAAAGAACGCTGGACGGCATTGTCAGTGGCCATTAAAACCCGTGACGACAAGAAATTCTGGAATTTAATTAATGCAGGTTTAAGACCCCCCTCATTCATCGTTAATAACATCACAGCAGCCAGTTGGCACTCTCACTTTGCTCAGCTGTATTCTGCCCCAGACTCCGACGTAAACGCAGTTTCCACTCTTCCCGCATCTCCCTTGCCCACCTGGGAGCCAGTTTCCCCAGAGAGATGTGTACAACTAATTAGCATGTTATCAGGGGATAAATCCCCGGGGGAGGATATGATTCCACCCGAGGTATTCTTATTGAACCAGATGTGGTGGGCCCCTATTTTTGCATCTCTCTTACCACTATTAATGCCACTCTTAAGATCCCGCCAAATTGGAAACAGAGCATAGTCATCCCAATACATAAAAAGGGGGACCCACAAGATCCGCGTAACTATCGACCCATCAGCCTGCTAGACATATCATACAAGGTTTACTCTAGATTCTTGCTAGAGAAATTAATCGAGTGGGCAGAAGAAACAAAGCTATTCCACCCGGAACAGGCTGGCTTCCGTAAAGGTCACAGTACATCTGGCCAATGTCTTGTTCTATTTACCCTGATTGATAAATACTTAAACAGGTTTAACTGCAAACTACACGCGGCTTTTGTGGACCTGACCGCCGCTTTTGACTCCATTCCCAGAGATAGGCTATGGCAGAAGCTTAGTTACACCAACATAGATAAGAGACTCCTCCTTCTTCTTATGGAAATTCACAATGACATATCGGCCAGAGTAAAATCTGGCCCCCTGGGAGCTCTTTCTGATTCTTTCCCTCTGAATAAAGGGGTCAAACAGGGCTGCCTCTTGGCCCCTTTTCTATTCAATTTCTATATCAACGACATTGTTACAACTATGCAGGCCCTAAATCAATCTGCCCCCTCTACAACAGCTCAAGATCCCCATATTACTCTATGCGGACGACATGGTGATACTGTCTTTAACCAAGCAGGGCTTAAACAACATGCTCAGAGGGCTCATGACATATTGTGATACCAATTCCCTCAAAATCAATTTCGCCAAAACCAAAATTCTTACTTTTGGCACGAAAACTCGGAAGTCATTCTGGAACTTTGAGGGCCACTCTATTGAATATTGCTCAGCTTTCAAGTATTTGGGAATCACTTTTCAGCATGGGCTTAGCTGGTCAGCTCACCTAAATATGACCATCCTGGCTGCCCGTAGAACCATCAAAGCCTTGGAGAAATTCTTCTATGCAAAAGGCGGCCAGTTGGTTCCACCAATCAGAAAAGCATTTATTAGCAAAGTCCTCCCGATGTTACTGTATGGGGTTGAAATCTGGGGGTGGAATTTAAAAACACTTCAACGGCTGGAGATTCTACAAAACTCTTTTGTACGAAAGATACTGGGTCTCCCCAAGGGCTCGGTTGCTGCTCAGTTAAGAACAGAACTGGGCCTCCCCTCCATTGTTGCGAGAGCCCATATTAGAATTATTAGTTTTTATTGCAAATTAATCAATGCCCCAGGTTCCCTACTAGCCAGGCAAGCCTTTTTAACTTGTTCTCACTCCAACAAATGGTCCAAGGCCATGGAGACTATTACTGTACGCTACTCCCTCCCAGAATTCGACACGTTGTCATCTTGGGACCAACATAAAATCCGGGACTGGATTCTTATAAGAGATGAGGCCATGGACCGGGCACAGTCCACCTCAGCTCGCCTCTCCATGTGGCTCCCTAAAGTGAAAGTGGTAAGATCACTTGCCAACTACTTGATAGACCTGACGGAGCCCAACTTGAGAAGAGCGTTTACAATGGCCCGTTTTCATTCTATACCCACGGCCTTCTTGCAGGGGACCTACTCTAAGACCCCTATTACTCAGCGTCTATGTCCATGCACAATGAATAATTAAATATAAATTCTTTCCTAGAGGTATGGATCAAAGAAATTGCACGCTGTTTCACACACATCCATATATGTAGTTGTTAAGTGTGTACCTCCACCCCAAATTACCAACTGAACTTTAAAACTAACTTTTAAAGCATTGATTGTTCAAATTATAAAAAGATTTCATCAAGTTACAAAAATATAGCCTAAAGTCAGAAACAACACATGACCACAACCCGTAAGCAGACCCAGCAAAGCAGGAAGATTCCATGGCATGAAACTTTTCATGAATAAACAGCTGGACCCTTTTCATTATCACCTGTGTTATTATATTCTATTAAGATTTTAATTAAATAAAATGTAAATTCCAGCTATCCAGATGTTTGCGAAATATACCAGCCCCAGAGTCAGCATGCAGCCTCCATCCGCAGCACCCCCATGTTGGCTGCCCTGACCCCCCAAATAGTGTCACTTCAGGGCATGGTAGGAAATTTACATGGCAGTTCCCAGACGTAGCCACAGGCAGGGCAAGGGAGATAGAAGGAGACCGCCAAAGGAGACCCCCTCAAACCTGGAGCTGGCCAGGCCTCATCCCCATTGGTCAGCAGGCAGGAGCAGGCTGACCTCTTAGCAAGCAGCTAAGCAGAGTATTTGCATGATCTCTTTTTAAAGGGAAGTGGAATAACTCACAGAAGAAGCCTGGCCACAGCCCAGAGATGTACAGACAGACCTCCACAGTCTCCTCAACATGTGACAGCTCAGAGTGGCAACAATCCCAAAGCACCTCATTCAAAGCGATACGGCCTCTGTACATGGAGGTTCCATTTAGTTCTTCTGGCTAGTTTGGGAATAAGTGGGGCTCCCCTTCACCTCTCAATTCCTGAATTTCACAACATGAGGGACACAAGCCTTCTGAAGAAGGGGCAATATTCACCAGCAGAAGAAAGCCAGAAAGTGGTAGCAGGAGGGCCGCAGATGGCAGTGGGCACTGGGAGCTGGAGGGAATGGAAGCAGCCAGGCAGGAGCAAGCGAGCGGGGCAGGCTTTGCAGTCTGGCTCTAGATTCCCACCCACAAGAGCTGCCCCTGCCATATCTCCTTCCTTCCCCATTACCTGGGCAGGGCGTCCTGGTGTTACAGGTGTCGGTGTGGGTGTCTGGACCAGGGCAGAACTTCCCTCCATGCTTTGGCGCAGGGCTGTCACACAGACGCTTCTCCACCGTTCGGCCAACCCCGCAGGTCACCGAGCAAGAGCCAGTGGGCTTCCAGCTGCCCCAGCTGCCGTCCTCTGTGGGGCAACACAAAGAACTCTGGACCCCCAGTCGGACTTGCTCAGACAAGCACAAGCTCTAAATGGGCATCGCTGTGGCCCATCAAGTGTGGAACTACATTGTCCAGGACGCAACAGAAATTCATTTGGAAACTCCCTGCAGCAGGGCTACGAAAACTGTGGTCGTTGAGAGTTTCTTGGACTCCCAGCAGCCCCAGCCGTCAGGATGGACAATGGTCAAGGGTTAAAGGGGTTTTCACTGCTACATCCATCCCCAGCCTATAAACTAGGTCTGTCGCTTTGGAAAGCATTGGGACAGGCCAGTCTCTTTTCCCATTTCCTTTCTGGATCACGATCCGGCTGGCCAGAGACAGCAAAGAATCTAACATTCACATATGCATTAATGTAAGATTTGTATATGTTAGCTGTACTTTTGTAATATTTTCTGCTCTTTGCATTGTTGTTGCTTTAGTTATCTGTACACCGCTAAGAGATATTTTTAAAATACACTTTGTGATATAGAACTGGCACAAATAGGTACACACTAAATAAATCCATAAGGGGGGGGGGGGCTTGTTTCTTCAGAGGCAACAGGGTCATCACCCGCAAGCTGCTTGCAGGAGGAGGGCTGGGTAAATGAGGCAGCTTTCTTTCCTTACGTGGACAGAAGGGCAGTCCGCTGCAGGAGCGGTAGTCTTGGTCAGCTCCAGGGCAGGGGTTTCCAGGGGGGTCTCTGGAAGGTGGGGGGCTGTTACACTGACGCCGGCGCTGCTGCCTGGGCTGTGGCCCTGAGCCCTCGGGAATGCAGGTGGCAGGGCAAGGTTCCCAGTTGCCCCAGTTGCCCCAGTTTCCATGGGCTGTGTGAAAAGAGAAGCAAGCACAGAAAGATGAGGGGTGTGAGGGGGAGGCGGTGTGGGTCAGGATGGGCTGTGCAGAAAGAAGGCAAGCAAACCTCACCTCCCTAAGACCTGTGTCCCCTCCATCCTTGCTCCAAACTGTCCCGTCTCTCTTCTCCATCAGATCATCCGGTCCCAGCAAAGCTCTACCAGCCATATTTCCTTTAATGCGTTCAGCACCCCAAGCCCCCACTCTGATTCCCTCTCCTCCATCCATTCCCATCGCCTTTTTAACGGATCAAAGGAGTGTAAGAACTTACACTTTTATGTATAAGTGTAAGAACTTATACATAAATGCTGCCACTCATGGACAGAAGGAAAGATTGATTTTACCATTTTCATTTTTTGTACTGTACCACAGTAAAAAAAAAAACTCCCCCAAAAGTAAAACAGCCTTTTAAAAAAACACCACTATAACCATTTCTTGGATCATTTTGTATGGTTACCTACCAGTGAAATTCTTTTGGTGGCTTACAAAATAAAAATAAGCATCCAGTATTTTTTAAAAGTCAAGATACAACAATTGAAACAAAACAAAAAGTCAATAAACACAGCAACACCAAAAAAAATCCTAGAAGAAGCAGAATTAAATAATTTGCAGCTCATTTCAAAACCCCACTAAGAGAGTGATCCTATAGAAATATCCACCAGGATGAGTGTGGTTAGGATCCAGTGGATCTCTGAACTCTAAAGACTATTTTGAAGGCTTGTTTTCCCTCTGCCAGGTTTAGGCCAGCTCAGCTGGTAGCAGCCCTGCTCCTGAACAGAATTTGGATCTGGTGTTCTGTACACGAGCTTAACTTATGCTGGCTTATTGTGTATAGGATTTCTCCCTGAAAGATGGCGAGCATAAGCTTTATTTAAAACAATATTAAAACTGTGAAGGCCTAGCCCTAGGGTTTGTTTCGAAACACAAGCTCAAGCTTCATTCACCTTAGTGAATAAAAAGGTACCAGAAAGACCACAAAAAAGACACCAGGTGCACCTCTCTGGGGAAGGCAATAATCAACTATATATGTAGCTGATTAATCCATATTACATGTACAGCCTTGCTCCCTCCTCCATTTCAACTTTCTGACCTCTCATTGCATCCATTTTCCTTCCCTTCCTGACATCCTTTGACCCAGTTCTTATTTTCCAATATTTCTGTCAAAAACCTACTTGGGCAGATCAGGTTGGTGTCACAGGACCGTTGTTCGGCGCCGTCTCCTAGGCAACTGCCTCCACAGTCTGGTGCTGGATTGGTGCAAGTGCGCTTCCTTGTCTGCAGCCCTCTGAGGCAAGTCACAGAGCAGGGACTCCAGGCAGCCCAGGCTGACCAGCCTCCCACCCCTGCAAGGAAATAAGGGGCGGCATCAGTGAAGACTGGGATGAATAGCTTCCTTGACGTGCCCTGAATTCTCTTCATGAAGCCCAGTCTTTTCTGCAGAAATGCTCTTAGGAAGCAAGCAAGCCTGCCCATCTAACCCACTGTTGTCCACAGACTGACTGGCAGCCGCTCTCCAGATAGCGGATATATTCAGAAGACAGAAAGCGGGAGCTATTAGCGAAGCTGAAAGCTGAAGATTCATCTCATATATTTAAATCAAATCAAAGTGGGGTGGGAGAGGAATTCAGCAGCTACAAGAATCCACAGTAATGGGAAGTTATCATCATATAAGCAAACAGGTGAGCTACAGTGTGATCAGGATGCAATCCATATATCCACTGGCGGAGGAAGATGGGGGAGGGGGAAGTGCACTGCCCTCGGCAGCGTGCTCCGGGGGGGGTGCCATCTTGGCTGCCCCCCGCCCCCGCGGCACGCCACACCCCTGGGATGCACGTCGCCCACACCTGCTCTCCGCCCCCTGGTGCCGGAGCATGAAGCTCCACCACTGCATATATCATGGATGGGGAATTGGTGGTCTTCCAGATGTTGTTGGACTCCAGCTCAGTTCCAGCCGGCAGGCCCAGGGGTCAGGATGATGGAAGCTGAGAGTCCAGCCCCATCTGAAGAGCCACAGGCTCCCCACCTGTACTAACACACTTACCTGGGAGCCTGTTACAGAGAACTCACTTCTGAGCAGACAGGTGTAAGGTTGCACTATATGAGAACTGAAATTTTAGGTTGGAGATGCACAACTTGTGGGCTGGATTCTAGTTATGGGTAAATTTTACCTGGCCCTGTTTGTCCCTACAAAATGTTAAGACAAACAAAAACCCCTTGGTTTTACAGATAAGGAAGAGAAGCAACTGGTTTCCATGTGGATTTAATTATAAATATTAATGATTTATTTACAGCATTTTTACCCTGCTCTTCAGTCAAAAAGTCTCCCAGAGAAGCTTGCATAAGATACCGTATTTTTCGCTCCATAAGACGCACTTTTTCCCTCCTAAAAAGTAAGGGGAAATGTGTGTACGTCTTATAGAGTGAAAGCAGGTGGGAGGCTCTGCTCAGCGCTCCCTTTAAAGAGCCACGCCTAGCGTGTGTGCGACTCTTGGGGGCTTTTCCGCGAGGTGGGAGAAGGGACTGACAGGCTGCCCTCTGTCCCTTCCCAAATCTCCCAGAAAAGCCAGCAAGAGCCGCTGCCAGACTCTGCTCAGCGCTCCCTTGTAAGGGCTGCCTTTCATCGCTCCTCCCGCTTTGCTGGGAAGCCAGCAGAACAAGAGGCGCTGTGCAGCTATTGCTCTTGCTCTGCTGGCTTCAGCGAGAGCTGCGCTGTTTGCTCTGCTGGCTTCTCAGTGAAGCAGGAGGAGCGACGGAAGGGTTTAAAGCAAGAAAAGCAAGAGCCACTTACATGCTCTGCGCAGAATATTTTTTTTCTTGCTTTCCCTCTCTAAAAACTAGGTGCGTCTCATGGTCAGGTGCATCTTATGGAGCGAAAAATACGGTAAATAAAAACAAGGCAGCCCCTGATGAAGACTTACAAACTAAAAAGCACAATACAAAGGGGGAAATGGATGAGGAGCAAAGAGGAAAACAAGTAAACTCAGGCCCTAGATCTTAGCATACCATAGTAGTTCTTAGAGACCAGATGGAATGGAAAACAACCTGATAACAAGAATGTATATCTGAGCAAGAAACTCTGTAGCTGAAAGGAAGCTGTGTTCAGCCCAAGTTAAAGGACCCTGGGTGACTTCAAAGTGATGTCTGGCTTCACCCCAAGTTCAAGAGCGGATAAAGAAATCACAGGGGTAAAAACTGGGAAAAGTGAATTCAAGTTAAAAGCGTATGCAGATGACCTAGTGATAACAGTGGAAGAACCTAAAACCTCACTCCCTAAAGTAACAGAAAAAATTCAGAAATTTGGGGAGGTGGCAGGATTTAAGTTAAATAGGAATAAAACTAAATTATTCATTAAAAACATGAAGGAAGAAGAAAGAACCGAATTAGAACAAAACATTGCGATTGAAGTCCATAAAAAGGTTAAATATTTAGGGATTTGGTTAACATCAAGAAATATAAACCTATTTAAAAATAACTATGAAAAAATTTGGCTTGAGGTTAAACAAAATTTAGAAATATGGAGTAGAATGAATCTCTCATTGTTAGGAAAAATATTGGCGATTAAAATTAATGTGTTGCCAAAAATGCTATTTCTTTTTCAAGCGATACCAGTCATTCTGAAAGATGAATGTTTTTAGAAATGGCAGAAAGAGATTTCAAAATTTATCGGGGGGGGGGGGGGGAAGGCCAAGCATAAAACATAAAATACTTACAGACGTAAAAGACAGAGGCGGGTTTGCCCTCCCAGACCTTAAATCTGCTTGTTTGGTTTGGATCAGGGACTGGATGAGATTGGATAAGCAAGAGGCATTAGAGCTAGAAGGACATGACAAGAGATTCGGCTGGCACGCATACTTATGGTACGGAAAAGGGAAGGTTCATAGAAGTTTTTACAACCATATAATTAGGAAATCACTAATGAGAGTATGGGAGAAATACAAAGACTTATTGGAACAAAAGACCCCGTAGTGGCTTTCACCACATGAAGCAGTCGCTCAAACCACTTGGAAAGAAAGGGAAATGGCTCACATATGTTGATTTATTAAAGGACCATGATGGAAAATGGAAATTAAGAGATTACGATGAGATCAAAGACCACTTTCAGAGTTGGTTGCATTATCGACAGCTATATGAAACACATAAAGAAGACAGTGAGAAAGAATTCAGTTACACAAGATCTAGGTTTCAAACGGAAGTGATCAAAGGGAAAGTGAAATTACTGAATATTATTAGAATGGGAGATGAAAGATGAAGAGGTAAAATCAGTTATGATTAAATGGGCACAAGATGTAGATCACAACATTATGATGGAAGATTGGGGGAAATTATGGAAAACTGATGTAAAATTTGCAGATTGTTCCCTACTGAAGGAGAATTACATGAAGATGATGTACAGATGGTACACGACACCAGTGCAGTTAGGGAAAATGTGCAAAACTAGTTCAAATATATGTTGGAAGTGTAAGGAAAAGGAAAGGACATTTTATCATATGTGGTGGGATTGCAATGTAATTAAAAAATTTTGGGAAATGATATACAATGAATTGAAGAAAATGTTCCATTTAACATTTGTTTAAAAAACCTGAAGCATTTTTGTTAGGGATTGTAGGGAAAGATCTGCCCAAAAAGCTGAAAAACATCTTCATGTATGTGACAACAGCCGTGAGAGTTCTAATAGCACAAGGATGGAAGACTGAAGAAACCCCAACTAAAGAATCATGGCAAGAAAAATTGATGGACTATGCAGAACTGGCAAAATTGACATACAAGCTACGGGACAAGGATAACTGTGACTTTAAGGATGAATGGGAACCCAATACAAAGTATTTGAAGACACAACAAAGCCAACCGGACTCCTTGGCTGGCTTTGAATAAACATTCACAAACTTTTCTAATGATGATAATCAGTTAAATAGTTTGAGGATCTATACAATTGTGTAACATGCAGAAAACTGCTTTCTTAGAGAAATCAAAGACTGGAACTGAGGGAAGCTGGGGGGTGGGGGGGTGGGTTTTGTGTGGGAGGGTGGGGGGAGGGAGGAAAAATGGGGGGGAAATAAGGATGGTGTGTTTCTGGATAATATGTTTTGTTTTAATTTTGAATCTAAAAGTTTTTTAAAAAAGAGAGAGAGAAAAGAGCCACAATAGCAGAGCCGAGATGCTTACGGGGGCAGCAGGCCATCGGGCTGCAGGCCTTCATCTCCCACTGGCGGGCGCTGGCCTGACAAAAGCCGGCCGGGCCGTTGCGCCCATGACACGTCCGGTTGCGCCGTTGGACGCCTTCCCTGCAGGAAACAGAGCAGGGGCTCCAGGGGGACCAGTCACTCCAGTGGGCTGCCCTGTGCAAAAAGAAAGAGGAGGAGGAGGTTACGAGTCCTCCCTGCTATGGGGAGTCATAAAAATCCCCCAGGGAAATTCCACAGATAACCCAGGGCAGAATTAAAGTACAGTGACTCCCCACTTGCATGGGGGTTATGTAGGCCCCCACGCACTTCCGTGAAACTGCGTTAAGTGGGGAGCACCCTCTAAACACCCTTCAGAAGCCCTCTCTCCCGCTCTATCTTCAAACCAAACCCAAAAATACCACATCCAAAAATATCCGCAACTGGAGTTGAAGCTCTGCTTCCTGCAGAGAGCCCCAGGGCCAAAGACTCTGGAAGGACTTCCACCAGCTTCTCCTCCCCATGCCCACCACCACTGCTACCCCAAATGGGCTCTGGGGGGTCAGGAGAACTCTCCAAACAGCATGTAGCAGGAAGGAGAGGGGAGATTCAGGCTGGTGCTGACAGAGCAATCTGCCTAAGGCTATACTAAATTCCTCCCTTAACTGCGCACTCACAAAGTCTAGGTGCAAATTTGTATTACGGTGAGCTAATTCCCAACACACTAGTTAGACAGCAATGAGGGCAGCACCCTACTTAGATTTTCTGTTCACAAGGAAGCCATATCGTTGCGGGGAAAATATTTGCCTGTAGCAAAGTGCTTATTTGCATTTAACACACACACTATCACAGTCAAATTGTGGTCTCACAAAAGCTGTACAAAAAGCAGAGGATGTCATGCTGGTTGATTAACCAACATTCCAAATTTAACAGCAGGACAATACCTTTACAGGGACCCCCCCCCCTCCATGTTGTCTGTGTGTAGTTGACCCGGTACTAGGCAAGGCAGCTACAGCCACACCAGGGACTTATGGTATGTAATTATCCCCTGTGCTTTAAGGCCCAACCCCTGGCGTAGTGTCTGGGGGGGAGGGAGTCCCATTGGGGATAATGAGGTTGGTGGCTGAACCAGCTGAGCATCCAAACATACTTTTAAGGGAGGCCAGTGTTTGGCCCTCTGGAGCCCAGGGGCCTTGGCATTTGCCAGGTGCCTCGGCTAGGGTGGGAGAAAGAAAAAAAGTGAGCTTCATGCTGTAACCACTTATACACAATCCATTGACAGCAAATTTGGTGCACATTTAAAGCACATGGCTTCCTCCAGACAATCCTGGGAAATATAGTTCACCCCCTCATACAACAGCTGCAATTCTCAGCACCCTTAGCAAACTGTAGTTCCTGTGGATTCCTTGGGGGGAAGTCCATGTGTTAAACGAGCATATGGTGTGAGTCCTGAGCACAACAGCATTCTCCCTACTTGTGATCCCGAGCAACTGCTCTTTGGAGGTAGAGTATGCCATTCTGGCTCGTAGCCACAGAAGGTATTTGGGGATCTCCAGCAAGAGAGATTGGGAGAGCTAGAGAAGGTGCTGAGTGAAACATGGGCACAGTGGTTAGTGATAGGATTCTGGTGTGACACTCACTGGCAGGCCTGGCATGGCCCATTCCTGTCCAGCTGGAAGCCGTATTGGTGGTTTAGGCAGCAGTCGTCCTGGGCAACCCCTTCCCCCAGCAGGTCGTTGCACTTCCCTGAAGTCACATCAAATGCCCCGTAGCAGAAAACATTTTGCGCTCCTGAAATGAGAAAACCCAGCTGAGAGCAGGCTGCAAGCATGAGGATAGGAATCCCCCTCCTAAGCACAAATGGGGAGCTGTGAGTTCCCTATGTGGCCTTGGGGACTCCCTTCAGGCCACACCCTCCTTGATGCCTCCCGCTTGCCTGGAAGACGAATGGACAGAGGTGTGTGCATAGGAATCTCTGGCTTTGACACAGTTGGGGTGTCCCTACAACAGGTAAGGTTTGCATCCAGTGCTGTGCCTGTTTCTGCATCTGGGCCCCATCCATCACCCCTGGGAGGTAGTCCCAGGTGAGGCTTGAAAAGGTCGGCCAGATAACAAACCCTTATCAACACAAGAAATACAAGACAAACGAGGTGACACCCGAATGCCCTGGCTAGCACACCAACTACATGCCCTCTTAAAATCAGCAGCAACTAGGCCCCTGACAACCTTTGAAAACCTCCTCCTAACAACAAAGGGACACGGCAAAGGGATGGTGTCCACAATGTACAAAATACTACTCCAAAATCCCACAAACCCCCTAGACGTAATCAAAAAAATTGGGAGGACGACATTAACCCCACCCAGTGGACTAGAATATGGTCTAATATGGCTGTTTAAATCCATATCAGCGAAAAGGAAAGAACTTGTTCTGAAACATACTTACAGATGGTACCTAACACCAAGGAAACTAGCACTAATACGCTTAGGAATGTCCCCAAAATGCTGGAGAGGATGCACTTCCATAGGCATATACATCCACAGGTAGTGGGAATGCCCCCAAAACCAACTATTCTGGACAACAATCATACAAGAAATATGCAAAATAACTAAGCAAGTATTAGAAGTCACCCCAGAACTGGCCCTACTAAACATCTTCCAAGATAATAATGCCCACTCACATCATAAAGAGCTCATAACCCACCTACTCTCAGCAGCCAGAAGCCTCAAAGCCAGACACTGGAGAGACCTGTTAGGAGTAAACATGGACCAACACCAATGGTATCAAATAGTATGGGAAACAGCCTTATTAGAAAAACTAACCAACAAACTGAAACTGACACAGGGACAAATAGAAGAAGATGCCTTCACCCTTTATCACATTCACAACCCAACAAGAGAACAACAAGAACCCACCAACAGCAATCTGGCTAATCTGTGATCCAAAAACACACACACATGGAAACAAAGTTCACCACAGCCAATCACAACTAACCAACCACACCCTAGGCCAACCCCAACTTCTCTCCCCACCAAAGAAATACAAGTGAATAGTAAAGGGAACCCACACGTGACGCTGACACAAAACCCCACATATACCCCACGGAGAAGAGAAGCATTGCCACCCACTCACCTCCCCCCCCTCTCCCCATTTCCCTCCTAATGTAACACTAATGTCTCAACAAATGAAACTGATCTGTAGAAAATGTAACTTCAAAAAAAAGACATTGCACATACTTTTGTAAACCAAGAAATCTTTAATAAAATATGTGAGAGAAAGAAAGAAAGAAAGAAAGAAAGAAAGAAAGAAAGAAAGAAAAGCTCGGCCAGCCCTGACCTAGAGCAACCTCACCCACCCTCCCATAGCAGCAACCGGTTGCCAGTTTCCTCCGCCTTAGAATAGTATTATATTTAACTAGATAACTTTTAAATTTTTTAATTTTTATAATAAAAAAAGAGAACACATGGTGGCGGATCCAAAGGACCATGTGTCTTCCTCCATGTCACTCGAACTGGTACTAAAAGCCTGAGAACTTGCAGTTGGAGGGGGAAATTGTAGAAGCCCACATAACTGCTTAGGTCGTTGGCTTTTGACTGTTTTCACATACAGTGGTACTTCGGGTTAAGTACTTAATTCGTTCCGGAGTTCTGCGGGACTTGACATCTTTCCGCAGGGCCTGCAAGACAGAGCTGTTCCACCAGGCCTTTGGCCAGGGCACAGCCTGACTCCCTCCCTCGGCAATCTTCGCGGAGCTCTGGTCCAATGGTTGCCAGTGGCTTGAATTAATTAATTTTATAATGAATGATTTTAGAGTGTTGTTTGTGTTGTACTTTGTACTGTTTTATTGTTGTTAGCCGCCCTGAGCCCGGCTTCGGCTGGGGAGGGCGGGATATAAATAAAATTTATTATGATTATTATAATTTATTATTCTTAACCTGAAACTGTTCTTAACCTGAAGCACCACTTTACCTAATGGGGCCTCCTGCTGCTGCCACAGCACAATTTCTGTTCTCATCCTGAAGCAAAGTTCTTAACCTGAAGCACTATTTCTGGGTTAGCGGAGTCTGTAACCTGAAACGTATGTAACCTGAAGCGTATGTAACCCGAGGTACCACTGTACTAATACCACATCCTGTAGAACTCTTTCAGTTATATTTTATCTGCACAATCAGAATGAATTTGAGGAACCAAAATGTTTTTCTGTGCGGCCTGAGCAGGGAACAGCGTTATAGTGATTGCAGTAGCTCGTCTTTGTCCCCCCACCCCTGCCCTGCTCACAGTTGTGAAGAATATTCCTACGTTATGAATGGTCCATGTCACCATTAAGAAAAATAGGTCAGAACAGGCAAATATATATGTGGACAGTCCCTGGAGCAAGTGACTTTTCTTCTTTAAGTTGTCAAAGCTCTTAACTTAGCTCAAGGTTGTCATCTGAACTGGCCAGAGAATCGATCAGAGTCAGTCCAACATTTGGAAAACAAGACTTTAGAACCGTTTTGCCCCAAAATGGCAACTAGATGTTCCATTTTGGCACTGGCAGAGGAGTGCGGGGGGAGTGCGTTGCCCCCGGCAGCACCATCCCGGTGGGGTGCCATCACAGCTCCCCCCTTCCCACGCTGGGCACCACGCCCCCAGGACACATGCCACGCCCCCGGGACGTGCGCCAGCCCCGCCCCCACCTGCTCTCCCCCCCCTCCGGTGCCGAAGCATGAAGCTCCGCCACTGCATTTTGGTGACTGTAACCTTGGTTTAAGGAGCCATTTGGTGCCTAGCTTATAAATCTGAGTTTCTATCACTGCTTATGGACGTCTGCCAAGTGAGGTTAATGCTTCATGCAGCTGCTGGGTCTGCAGACCCTAATGAGGTGAACTGTTTTGCTAGCATGCATCTGGCGAAACTACCAATTGCCCATGACCACTTGTGCCATAGCAAACATCAGGAAGCCACGGGACTCACTTGTGATTTCTCATCGCTTCAGGCCAGAAAAAGTTTCTCTGACTCAACAGCTCCCTGCCGGGAAGCTGTTATTACTTTTACAAAAGCTCTACCAGGAAAGAAACCTGGAAACCCTATGAAGGATGGAGCAATTTTTCAACTACAGTGGTACCTCGGGTTACAGACGCTTCAGGTTACAGACTCCGCTAAGCCAGAAATAGTACCTTGGGTTAAGAACTTTGCTTCAGGATGAGAACAGAAATTGTGCAGCGGCGGCAGCGGGAGGCCCCATTAGCTTAAGTGGTACCTCAGGTTAAGAACAGTTTCAGGTTAAGAACGGACCTCCAGAACAAATTAAGTTCTTAACCAGAGGTACCACTGTATGGGTAAAACCTTTGTTGTTTCAGTTGGCCCTTGAGAACCAACAGCTATAATCTTTGCATAGGAAGGACTATCGCTCACTGGCAGAACAGCTGCCTGGCATGCAAAAGCTCCTTGGTTTGATCCCTGGCATTTGCAAGGAGGAGGTGCCTGAAACCCAGCCTGTTTCTTGACAATACTGGATCGTTAGTCATCCAATACTGGATGACTAAATGGATCAAGAAATGGATCTAAATGGATCTGACTCAGTATTAGGGCAGCTCCCTATGTTCTAGTATTCCTATGTTCTAGTATTCCTTGGTTCATACTGTTTTGCTGCTCTGTTATTGGTGTTCAGAGGTGAGTGGTGCTGCTTATGTAGCCAAAACAGCACTACCCATGCACAAGATGGATGCATGACAAAGCATGAAAAAAGCTTTAGTGGGAAAATAACTATGGGGAAGCCCCGCCCCCAAATGCCCCATGAAGGCTGAGCTGCATTGCCATTAAAGACTAACTGTTGGGTTAAGGGAAAGGATCCATTGCATTGTATTTTGGTTTGGGTATTTTATTCTAATTTTGTGACCTGCTGTTTATATATTGCTGAATAGCAACATATTTATTATTTAAATAAATGCTTCAAGTTATAAAGGGATTGTTCTGCATCAGTCCTCCTGGACAACAAAAGGTCTCTGCTGAAACCACACGAGAATCCAAGCCCTTCCAAGGGAAGATTTGGTAAGAAGCGATAAGTAAGTTCTATACCCGTGGGATACTTTGGTCACATAATAGGCAGGTTTCGCACTATTTACGGTACCTTTCACATCTCAGGTTGCATGGAAATGTTTAAGCCAAATCTGTGACTTAAAGGGGCCTGAAAGCTTCCTAAGCACCCCTAGGTAAAGGTAAAGGGACCCCTGACCATTAGGTCCAGTCGTGGACGACTCTGGGGTTGTGGCGCTCATCTCGCTTTATTGACCGAGGGAGCCGGCGTACTGCTTCCGGGTCATGACTAAGCTGCTTCTGGCGAACCAGAGCAGCACACAGAAACGCCGTTCACCTTCCCGCTGGAGCGGTACCTATTTATCTACTTGCACTTTGACGTGCTTTCGAGCTGCTAGGTTGGCAGGAGCAGGGACTGAGCAACGGGAGCTCACCCCGTCGCAGGGATTCGAACCGCCGACCTTCTGATCGGCAAGTCCTAGGCTCTATGGTTGAACCCACAGCGCCACCCACGTCCCCAATCACCCCAGATGCCGCCCAAGTCTGCTACCCTTTTCCCATGGTGAGGGTCCTGGGCTTAGCATCTGCATGACAGGCAAAAATCCAATAGGCAAAGTATTCCCTATCGCATATACTGGGGAAAGGATTGTGTGCACAGAATTCCTGCCTGCTATGCAGCTGGTAAAAAGGCAGGGCAGTGCTGCTGCGGAAATAAAAAGTGGCAACTAAACACAGCCTATGTCCAGGATTGTCACTTAGCTACCAGTACACAAAAGTTAAGGACATCAAGCTTTCCCCAGAATGCAGCTCAGAGGAGTCTGTGCGCATGAGGACATTATTGGCTTAATTTCTGCTTGCTTTGCAGGCACAGGAACAGGCCCTGCCAGAGAATGGTGGCCACTCTCCCTCACTACTAGGGGTGGGTGAATTTGTCAATTTCAATTTCTCTAATTTCTCAGTTTTCTAATCTTGAATTCAGTTCTCCATATTTCCACATCAGTTTGTAATGATTTTTTAAAAAATTCCTCATGAAAATTAATCTTCATGTTGGTCCATATTTCTCCTAATATTTTATTTTTATTCTGAAGCATTTATAAACCAGTTAACACTTCAAAAACCTCCAAGCAGTCACTGTTATAGACATTCAAACAATTTCCCCAAATACACTGATGCATGTTATTTTCACAAATATATGCGTTTTTGTGCACAGTTCACCCTGTTATATGCAGCATTGTGCACATTACTTGGCAGGAGAACTGCCCTGCAAAATTTGGAGAATCCCAGATTTCAAAGGATAGTTGCATTTCACTTCATATATTGTTTCAGAGAGTGCAGATTAGGCAGGTCAGCCTTTAAAGGCAAAGTGAAGCAAGACACACACACACACACACACACACACACACACACACCCCGCCGGCAATTGATACTCATTACCAAAACATTGCTGTCCCCTTTACCTGCAGGAGCCTCCAGGACCCCAAACCACCAAGACACCACCACCAGGAGCCGGAACTCTTCCCCCCCAGCCATGGCTGCCTCTGGAGCAGAGTGAAAGGAACCGAGAGAGAGAGAGAGAGAGAGAGAGAGAGAGAGAGAGAAGATGACATGGCCAGCTATTGGGGAAGTTTGGAGCAGGGGAAGTCCCTGGTCAGCCCCTCCTGCAATAGTCCCTTTGAGTGACTCAGCCCTGATAGGTGGGGCAGCACCCTGATCAGATACCTGCAGCCGAAGAGGACGGAGTCCAAGGAGAGCAACAAAGCACTCAGAAGGAGGTGCCTGGATAGCTCCATGTGTTAGAGTGTGGTGCTGATAACGCCAAGGTGGCAGGTTCAAACCCCATGTGAGAGAGCTGCATATTCCTGTATTGCAGGGGGTTAGACTAGATGATCCTTGAAGTCCCTTTCAAATCTGTGAGTCTGATTCCATGAAGCAAAGACCCCCAGGAGATCTCAAGTTTGCACCAATATAAGTAAGGTGAGAACATATAGACCAGTGGTTTTCAACCAGTGTTCCCTGGGGTGCCTTGAATTATAGTCGGGGTGCTGCGGGCAACACTGGCCCTCTTTCCTCCCCTCTGATGTCCTCTTGCATCTCTGCTTCCCAAAAGCTTGCACAGCTGTTTGTTGCAGCTTCCCTGGCTACAAGCTCCCCAGGCGAAGGGTGCCTCTGGGGCTGGTCAGGGGGTGCTTCCCAGGCCCCTGTGGGGCAGTGGGAGGAGGCACCTCTCTTTGGGGCGGGGGGGGGGAGCTCAGAGACCAGGAGTGGCATCAGCAGTTGCTCAGAGGACTCCCAAGGAGAGGAGAGAGGAGGCCGAGGGAACATTCTACACGGGAGGGTGTTCAAAAAGGGGTGAGGGGCTGCTGGCTCTGAGGCCAAGGGGTGACATAACTGAACTCCTGAGGCCCACAGGGGTGCCACAGAAAGAGTGTAGTTGGTCAAGGGAGCCACGGACTCAAAAAGGTTGGAAACCTCTGATATAGGCATATGTACACCGACCAGCCAAGGACACCATTTCCTGCATCATCTGTCCGTTCATTATGGACCCTGAGATTCATCATGCCTTAATGAATTCATTAGTCTTTAAGGGGTTGCAAGACTCTTTGTTCTCTGTAGGCAGAGCTGTGGATCAATGCACAAAATCTCAAGCATGAAGGAGGAACCTGTGGCCCCCCAGCCACTATAAACCCTGAAAGCCCCAGCCAACATGAGGAATGGTCAAGAATGGCCACAGGTTCGTCACTGCTGATGTAGAGCATAGTCTGTTGGGGAGATGGCAGGAGTCTGTAACATCAGAGCTGGGTATTGTTAAAGGTTTGGGTGGGAGTCAATCTGGAAGATACCCCGGGGTCCCTTCCAAACCTGTGTAGGTGCAGTCTGACTCTATAAGAGGAAACCAGTCAAACCAGTTGGCCTTAGCCTTTCATTTACATTAGAGAGATGTTGCCCTGTTGCCATGGAGACAAACGGGGTAGCTACCACCATCACCACCCATCTAGCTGGAAGCAAGTCACCTTGTAAGGTAGAAGAACACTAGCCAGAGTTACTTACTGTGAGTTTTTGGCTGATGCTGTGAAATATACTCAGAGTCGCAAAGTGATTTCATGCTCTTTATTCAGCTCATAGTGGTGAGGAGGAATGAATGGAAGTCCCCTCAAAGTATCTGCTTTATATACATTATTTACACAATGGGCTGCACATGACTGGCTAATTCTGGAATTCTACTGTAAGCCAATTAGGTTGTGGATTCACTTATATCTGGAGCATGATTGGGTGGTTCCTGCCAACCAATCATACTGCTGCATTGTTCTAGGACCAATCAGACTGCTGCAGTTTGTTTGTTTGTTTGTTTTTAAATAATCTTTATTGCTTTTAAAACTTACAAGAAAAGAAGAAAGAAGAAAATAGGCGAAAGAAAAAAACAAAATAGAGCAGAGAAGAAAAAAAAGAGAAAGAAAAGAAAAAACAATACAATACAATACAATACAATAAACAATACAAAACACAACCTTAACACACTAAACTAAACAAAGCAAAAGAACAACAATTTAAAAACATATATCATACCATTTCATTACTCTATCTTTCATTCCCTTATTTCATCGACCTCCTCTCACCTCCCTTTTTGTATTCCACTTCTATTACTTGTTTCAGCAATTCCTTTCCATCTTTCTCTGTTTTTATCATTATGAATATCTTAACATATTTTGTACCTTATTTTCCATTAATACTGAAATACTTATTTATACCTAACTCCTTATAACATTTCTGCCAAAGCCATAAAATTTCATTCCAACAATTTTCTAACACTCATTAAATTTACAATATTTATATGTATAAACTTTAAACTTTCCCAATCTTCTACCACCATCTCTTCTCCCTGGTCTCGGATTCTGCCAGTCATTTCCATCCATTCCATATAGTTCATCAACCTGGAGATCTTCTGTCCGAGGCTCTTAAATCTTCTCCAAGTCCCTTCTGCAGTTTTTCTTCATATTCTTTGATGCTGAGGGTGCTGAAGTGCAGGTCTTGGGGGGCCCCCGACCCAACCATGCCCCCATTCCCTCTCGACAGACCAACCAACTCTCCACAGCTAAAACCAGTGTCCATACAATATCTCAAATCATGTTTCAAGGCTCCCCCAGATCCAAAGGCCCCCCCAACTCCAATCACCTCCTGACCCAGATTCAAGACCCAAAGGTCAGTAAATCTCTGCATGAAAGAGTCTATCCAACCTTCCTTCTTCAATCCAAACAGGGCTCCAATCTTCAAATTCTGACTTTTTCTATATTCATTCATAAAAGGCCTCCACTTATAGTCCTCAGTTTGCCTCTGTAAAACTGGGGCTTCCACTTGTATTATTTTAGGTTTAACAACACCAACATTCTCCTTCGTCTTCTCCCCAGTTTGTCCTGTCAAAGTAGGTTCCTGTGTCAAATCCTGAACAATTTCTGTATTAATGGTCACTTTTTGTTCCAAATTAGTCACTTTTTGTCCCAAGTTCTCAAGTTTGGTATTCATAGCGTCTGTCTTCTTGTGGAGCTGTTCCAATGAATAGCTTATCTTACATAATACAGTCACTAAGGCTCCTTCTGTCAACATTCTTAAAGTCCAAGGTCAATCTCTATTTCACACAGTTCTTATCTTGCAACTGGAAAAACCCCAGCTCCACTCTTGTAACTGTTTCAAAAGCTCCCTCTAGAGGGAAACAGTCTCCACTTGTATCAATCCTTTGAAACACAGTTTAAACTATAAAGATAGTTTCTTTTCCTACTTTTTAAACGCAGATGAGTACAATGAAAACAATATATTTCACTTATTGCTAGCTGTCAAAAAACGTCACTCTTTCTGGCAGCCCGTTTCCAGGTTTGGAGCAGTGGTAATTTAGTTTTTCACTCTCTCCTGCAGGCTCACTAGGTCCAAAATTTCCCCGCTCTTCTCCTGCTTCCAAGGGGGGTTTAATAGTTTTAACCGATGGAGATTTAATCCTTTACAAAAATAAACTTTCCAAGGCTTTAACTTGCAACTTCTTTGCTTCAATCTATTTACAAAAAAGGAAGGCGGACTTCCTGTTTAGAACCTTCCCGTTTCAATGCCAAATTAATGAATTTAAGGATCTAATTTTCCGTTCTACTCACGGGTAGTTGTTTAAAATCCAATTGTCCACAGGAAAAAGTCGGCGCTCTCTGGCAACAGCGATGCGGCTTCACTCCATGAAAGAAGCAGTCAATTCGAAGCACCGCGCCGCTCACCCCACGTCGCTCCGGATCCCCAAATCAGGGTTTCCCCGCAAGTAGGGGAGGTGCAAAGGGTGCCAGCCAAATCCCAAGTTCACAGGCTTCTCCCGCCTGTGATTTCAGTGGGTCTCCGCCTTCGCCGTGGCGGTCAGACCCTAATTTCCACAGAGCAAATTCCTCCCGATCGGAGGAACTCCGCCATTGCCTGGAGGCGCCAACCCGGAAGTCCAGACTGCTGCAGTTTGGATCCTATTCAACTCAGTACATAACATGCTGGAAGCTGGAGACAGAGACATGACTTGCACTATACAAACTATATACAGAGCTTAATAGGTCTAAGCATAAATGAATGCTGCACTGCACTGAGTGTCTGCAGCTGCTCTTAGCAGCAACCTTATCTCTACACACGATCTCTAACACTCAGTCTCTCTCTCTCTCCCCCCTACACTGACTGACTGACTGACTCGGTGCTGGAGCAGAATAAGTAGAGAGCAGAACACGCCTCCTCCTCTCTGGAGAATCATAGAATCATAGAGTTGGAAGAGACCACAAGGGCCATCGAGTCCAACCCCCTGCCAAGCAGGAGATTCTTGGATATGGGAGGGGTGAAATCTCCTCAGCAGATCCCAATGTAGATCCCTCTGACCCCCACAGCAGCCTTAATTAAAACCACCTCTCTCCATATTTTGTGCAGGGGGGTGTTGCTCACTTGGCTACAGAATGTTACTGTATTTGAATTACAAAGTCTGGAAGCAGAGTTGTTATTTCACTTTCAGCTGGCAGAACAGCAGCTGTTAAATTGCCCACAGTCTTAAGTGGTGGCGGCAATAACTATTTCCTTTCCAGTTTCATTTTTGCTCAAGATCACCCCTCTGTTTCCAGCTGCCTTTTTCCTTGAGAAGTAAAATATGCAGGGAAACAGATATCTATGTAAAAGAGGGGATTTTGGAAGGTGTTCCTCATAAGTGCCACAGCACTCAAGGGGTGGGGGAAGTTGCAATGGCCTACAGGTGCATAAATCTTCCATAGCCCCAAGGCTCTGTTGCTGTTTCCCTACTCTGACATCACTGATGTTTGTATAAGGGGGGAAATGAAATCATCTCTGCATTCTTGGAATCTGTCACTGCACTTCAGTCTCAAGGCTGTTTTGTTTTTAAGGCAAAATCTTGTACCGCCATTAGAGCATTTGCATTTCTAGCTTGGGCAAACTTTTGCCTAACAGTCCAGACCAGATTTCAAGCTCCTGGCACCAGTTACCAGATCAAGAGAAAATAAATCCAGGACCCAAAGAAAAGTGTGATCATTATGTGTATTTAGCAGGGAGTGGGGTAGGCACTATTTATATTCTCAAAAACTATCTGTGGTAATTATTATTATTATTTTAAGTGACTGTGTTGGAATAGAAAGACACACTGTACATGCTGAGAAACATTTTGCCTTTAAACTCTTCTTTAAAATCCCACTTTGGCAAAATGCATTTTGCATGTCCTCAAAGGCACTTGGCCTGAGGAGGCAGCA